CGTCCAGTGGAGTGATCGAGTCATCAGTGGTGCCTCTAAAGATCTACACTTTTAATGAAGCAGCCAGTGGAGTGTTCGAGTCATCGGTGGTGCCTCTAAAGGGTCACACTCTCAGTGCAGCGCCCAGTGGAGTGTTCGAGTCATCGGTGGTGCCTACAAAGAGCTACACTTTTAATGCAGCAGCCAGTGGAGTGTTCGAGTCATCGGTGGTGCCTCCAAAGAGGCACACTGTCAGTGCCGGGTCCAGTTGAGTGATCGAGTCTTTGGGTGTGCCTTTAAAGGGCCACACTCTCAGTGCCGCGTCCAGTGGAGTAATCGAGTCCTTGGTGGTGCCTTTAAAGGGCCACACTCTCAGTGCCGCGTTCAGTGGAGTGATCGCGTCTTTGGTGGTGCCTTTAAAGGGCCACACTCTTACTGCCGTGACCAGTGAGTGATCGAGTCTTTGGTGGTGCCTTTAAAGGGCCACACTCTCAGTGCCGCGTCAAGTGGAGTGATCGCGTTTTGGTGGTGCCTTTAAAGGGCCACAATCTCAGTGCCGCGTTCAGTGGAGTGATCGCGTCTTTGGTGGTGCCTTTAAAGGGCCACACTCTTACTGCCGTGACCAGAGAGTGATCGAGTCTTTGGTGGTGCCTTTAAAGGGCCACACTCTCAGTGCCGCATCAAGTGGAGTGATCGCGTTTTGGTGGTGCCTTTAAAGGGCCACACTCTTACTGCCGTGACCAGTAAGTGTTCGAGTCTTTGGTTGTGCCTTTAAAGGGCCACACTCTCAGTGCCGCGTTCAGTGGAGTGATCGCGTCTTTGGTGGTGCCTTTAAAGGGCCACACTCTTACTGCCGTGACCAGTGAGTGATCGAGTTTTTGGTTGTGCCTTTAAAGGGCCACACTCTCAGTGCCGCGTTCAGTGGAGTGATCGCGTCTTTGGTGGTGCCTTTAAAGGGCCACACTCTCAGTGCAGCGTCCAGTGGAGTGATCGAGTCATCGGTGGTGCCTCCAAAGAGGCACAATCAAAGTGCCGCGTCCAGTGAGTCTTCGAGTCTTTGGTGGTGCCTTTAAAGGGCCACACTCTTAGTGCCGCGTCAAGTGGAGTGATCGCGTTTTGGTGGTGCCTTTAAAGGGCCACACTCTCAGTGCCGCGTCAAGTGGAGTGATCGCGTCTTTGGTGGTGCCTTTAAAGGGCCACACTCTTACTGCCGTGACCAGTGAGTGATCGAGTCTTTGGTGGTGCCTTTAAAGGCCACACTCTCAGTGCCGCGTCAAGTGGAGTGATCGCGTTTTGGTGGTGCCTTTAAAGGGCCCCACTCTCAGTGCCGCGTCCAGTGGAGTAATCGAGCCTTTGGTGGTGCCTTTAAAGGGCCACAATCAAAGTGCCGCGTCCAGTGAGTCTTCGAGTCTTTGGTGGTGCCTTTAAAGGGCCACACTCTCAGTGCCGCGTTCAGTGGAGTGATCGCGTCTTTGGTGGTGCCTTTAAAGGGCCACACTCTTACTGCCGTGACCAGTGAGTGATCGAGTTTTTTGTGGGGCCTTTAAAGGGCCACAATCTCAGTGCCGCGTTCAGTTGAGTGATCGCGTCTTTGGTGGTGCCTTTAAAGGGCCACACTCTTACTGCCGTGACCAGTGAGTGATCGAGTCTTTGGTGGTGCCTTTAAAGGGCCACACTCTCAGTGCCGCGTCAAGTGGAGTGATCGCGTTTTGGTGGTGCCTTTAAAGGGCCACACTCTTACTGCCGTGACCAGTAAGTGTTCGAGTCTTTGGTGGTGCCTTTAAAGGGCCACACTCTCAGTGCCGCGTTCAGTGGAGTGATCGCGTCTTTGGTGGTGCCTTTAAAGGGCCACACTCTTACTGCCGTGACCAGTGAGTGATCGAGTTTTTGGTGGTGCCTTTAAAGGGCCACACTCTCAGTGCCGCGTTCAGTGGAGTGATCGCGTCTTTGGTGGTGCCTTTAAAGGGCCACACTCTCAGTGCAGCGTCCAGTGGAGTGATCGAGTCATCAGTGGTGCCTCTAAAGATCTACACTTTTAATGAAGCAGCCAGTGGAGTGTTCGAGTCATCGGTGGTGCCTTTAAAGGGCCACACTCTCAGTGCCGCGTCCAGTGGAGTAATCGAGTCTTTGGTGGTGCCTTTAAAGGGCCACAATCAAAGTGCCGCGTCCAGTGAGTCTTCGAGTCTTTGGTGGTGCCTTTAAAGGGCCACACTCTCAGTGCCGCGTTCAGTGGAGTGATCGCGTCTTTGGTGGTGCCTTTAAAGGGCCACACTCTTACTGCCGTGACCAGTGAGTGATCGAGTTTTTGGTGGGGCCTTTAAAGGGCCACAATCTCAGTGCCGCGTTCAGTGGAGTGATCGCGTCTTTGGTGGTGCCTTTCAAGGGCCACACTCTTACTGCCGTGACCAGTGAGTGATCGAGTCTTTGGTGGTGCCTTTAAAGGGCCACACTCTCAGTGCCGCGTCAAGTGGAGTGATCGCGTTTTGGTGGTGCCTTTAAAGGGCCACACTCTTACTGCCGTGACCAGTAAGTGTTCGAGTCTTTGGTGGTGCCTTTAAAGGGCCACACTCTCAGTGCCGCGTTCAGTGGAGTGATCGCGTCTTTGGTGGTGCCTTTAAAGGGCCACACTCTTACTGCCGTGACCAGTGAGTGATCGAGTTTTTGGTGGTGCCTTTAAAGGGCCACACTCTCAGTGCCGCGTTCAGTGGAGTGATCGCGTCTTTGGTGGTGCCTTTAAAGGGCCACACTCTCAGTGCAGCGTCCAGTGGAGTGATCGAGTCATCAGTGGTGCCTCTAAAGATCTACACTTTTAATGAAGCAGCCAGTGGAGTGTTCGAGTCATCGGTGGTGCCTCTAAAGGGTCACACTCTCAGTGCAGCGCCCAGTGGAGTGTTCGAGTCATCGGTGGTGCCTCCAAAGAGCTACACTTTTAATGCAGCAGCCAGTGGAGTGTTCGAGTCATCGGTGGTGCCTCCAAAGAGGCACACTGTCAGTGCCGGGTCCAGTTGAGTGATCGAGTCTTTGGTGGTGCCTTTAAAGGGCCACACTCTCAGTGCCGCGTCCAGTGGAGTAATCGAGTCTTTGGTGGTGCCTTTAAAGGGCCACAATCAAAGTGCCGCGTCCAGTGAGTCTTCGAGTCTTTGGTGGTGCCTTTAAAGGGCCACACTCTCAGTGCCGCGTTCAGTGGAGTGATCGCGTCTTTGGTGGTGCCTTTAAAGGGCCACACTCTTACTGACGTGACCAGTGAGTGATCGAGTTGGTGGGGCCTTTAAAGGGCCACACTCTCAGTGCCGCGTTCAGTGGAGTAATCGCGTCTTTGGTGGTGCCTTTAAAGGGCCACACTCTTACTGCCGTGACCAGTGAGTGATCGAGTCTTTGGTGGTGCCTTTAAAGGGCCACACTCTCAGTGCCGCGTCAAGTGGAGTGATCGCGTTTTGGTGGTGCCTTTAAAGGGCCACACTCTCAGTGCAGCGTCCAGTGGAGTGATCGAGTCATCAGTGGTGCCTCTAAAGATCTACACTTTTAATGAAGCAGCCAGTGGAGTGTTCGAGTCATCGGTGGTGCCTCTAAAGGGTCACACTCTCAGTGCAGCGCCCAGTGGAGTGTTCGAGTCATCGGTGGTGCCTCCAAAGAGCTACACTTTTAATGCAGCAGCCAGTGGAGTGTTCGAGTCATCGGTGGTGCCTCCAAAGAGGCACACTGTCAGTGCCGGGTCCAGTTGAGTGATCGAGTCTTTGGTGGTGCCTTTAAAGAGCCACACTCTCAGTGCCGCGTCCAGTGGAGTAATCGAGTCTTTGGTGGTGCCTTTAAAGGGCCACACTCTCAGTGCCGCGTTCAGTGGAGTGATCGCGTCTTTGGTGGTGCCTTTAAAGGGCCACACTCTTACTGCCGTGACCAGTGAGTGATCGAGTCTTTGGTGGTGCCTTTAAAGGGCCACACTCTCAGTGCCGCGTCAAGTGGAGTGATCGCGTTTTGGTGGTGCCTTTAAAGGGCCACAATCTCAGTGCCGCGTTCAGTGGAGTGATCGCGTCTTTGGTGGTGCCTTTAAAGGGCCACACTCTTACTGCCGTGACCAGTGAGTGATTGAGTCTTTGGTGGTGCCTTTAAAGGGCCACACTCTCAGTGCCGCGTTCAGTGGAGTGATCGCGTCTTTGGTGGTGCCTTTAAAGGGCCACACTCTTACTGCCGTGACCAGTGAGTGATCGAGTTTTTGGTGGTGCCTTTAAAGGGCCACACTCTCAGTGCAGCGTCCAGTGGAGTGATCGCGTCTTTGGTGGTGCCTTTAAAGGGCCACACTCTCAGTGCAGCGTCCAGTGGAGTGATCGAGTCATCGGTGGTGCCTCCAAAGAGGCACACTGTCAGTGCCAGGTCCAGTTGAGTGATCGAGTCTTTGGTGGTGCCTTTAAAGGGCCACACTCTCAGTGCCGCGTCCAGTGGAGTAATCGAGTCTTTGGTGGTGCCTTTAAAGGGCCACAATCAAAGTGCCGCGTCCAGTGAGTCTTCGAGTCTTTGGTGGTGCCTTTAAAGGGCCACACTCTCAGTGCCGCGTTCAGTGGAGTGATCGCGTCTTTGGTGGTGCCTTTAAAGGGCCACACTCTTACTGCCGTGACCAGTGAGTGATCGAGTCTTTGATGGTGCCTTTAAAGGGCCACACTCTCAGTGCCGCGTCAAGTGGAGTGATCGCGTTTTGGTGGTGCCTTTAAAGGGCCACACTCTTACTGCAGTGACCAGTAAGTGTTCGAGTCTTTGGTGGTGTCTTTAAAGGGCCACACTCTCAGTGCCGTTTTCAGTGGAGTGATCGCGTCTTTGGTGGTGCCTTTAAAGGGCCACACTCTTACTGCCGTGACCAGTGAGTGATCGAGTTTTTGGTGGTGCCTTTAAAGGGCCACACTCTCAGTGCCGCGTTCAGTGGAGTGATCGCGTCTTTGGTGGTGCCTTTAAAGCGCCACACTCTTACTGCCGTGACCAGTGAGTGATCGAGTTTTTGGTGGTGCCTTTAAAGGGCCACACTCTCAGTGCAGCGTCCAGTGGAGTGATCGAGTCATCAGTGGTGCCTCTAAAGATCTACACTTTTAATGAAGCAGCCAGTGGAGTGTTCGAGTCATCGGTGGTGCCTCTAAAGAGCTACACTTTTAATGCAGCAGCCAGTGGAGTGTTCGAGTCATCGGTGGTGCCTCCAAAGAGGCACACTGTCAGTGCCGGGTCCAGTTGAGTGATCGAGTCTTTGGTGGTGCCTTTAAAGGGCCACAATCAAAGTGCCGCGTCCAGTGAGTCTTCGAGTCTTCGGTGGTGCCTTTAAAGGGCCACATTCTCATTACCGCATCCAGTGTAGTAATCGCCTTTTTGGTGGAGCCTTTAAAGGGCCACACTCTAAGTGCCGCGTCCAGTGGAGTGATCGAATCTTTGGTGGTGCCTTTAAAGGGCCACACTCTCAGTGCCGCGTCCAGTGGAGTAATCGAGTCCTTGATGGTGCCTTAGAAGGGCCACAATATAAGTGCCGCTTCCAGTGAGTCTTCGAGTCTTTGGTGGTACCTTTAAAGGGCCACAATCTCATTGCCGCATCCAGTGTAGTAATCGCGTCTTTGGTGGTGCCTTTAAAGGGCCACATTCTTAGTGCCGCGTCCAGTGGAGTGATCGAATCTTTGGTGGTGCCTTTAGAGGGCCACACTCTTAGTGCCGTGACCAGTGAGTGATCGAGTCTTTGGTGGTGCCTTTAAAGGGCCACACTCTTAGTGCCGCGTCCAGTGGAGTGATCGCGTTTTGGTGGTGCCTTTAAAGGGCCACACTCTTACTGCCGTGACCAGTGAGTGTTCGAGTCTTTGGTGGTGCCTTTAAAGGGCCACACTCTCAGTGCCGCGTTCAGTGGAGTGATCGCGTCTTTAGTGGTGCCTTTAAAGGGCCACACTCTTACTGCCGTGACCAGTGAGTGATCGAGTTTTTGGTGGTGCCTTTAAAGGGCCACACTCTCAGTGCCGCGTTCAGTGGAGTGATCGCGTCTTTGGTGGTGCCTTTAAAGGGCCACACTCTTACTGCCGTGACCAGTGAGTGATCGAGTCTTTGGTGGTGCCTTTAAAGGGCCACATTCTCAGTGCCGCGTTCAGTGGAGTGATCGAGTCTTTGGTGGTGCCTTTAAAGGGCCACACTCTCAGTGCCGCGTCCAGTGGAGTAATCGAGTCTTTGGTGGTGCCTTTAAAGGGCCACAATCAAAGTGCCGCGTCCAGTGAGTCTTCGAGTCTTTGGTGGTGCCTTTAAAGGGCCACACTCTCAGTGCCGCGTTCAGTGGAGTGATCGCGTCTTTGGTGGTGCCTTTAAAGGGCCACACTCTTACTGCCGTGACCAGTGAGTGATCAAGTCTTTGATGGTGCCTTTAAAGGGCCACACTCTCAGTGCCGCGTTCAGTGGAGTGATCGCGTCTTTGGTGGTGCCTTTAAAGGGCCACACTCTTACTGCCGTGACCAGTGAGTGATCGAGTTTTTTGTGGGGCCTTTAAAGGGCCACAATCTCAGTGCCGCGTTCAGTTGAGTGATCGCGTCTTTGGTGGTGCCTTTAAAGGGCCACACTCTTACTGCCGTGACCAGTGAGTGATCGAGTCTTTGGTGGTGCCTTTAAAGGGCCACACTCTCAGTGCCGGGTCCAGTTGAGTGATCGAGTCTTTGGTGGTGCCTTTAAAGGGCCACACTCTCAGTGCCGCGTCCAGTGGAGTAATCGAGTCTTTGGTGGTGCCTTTAAAGGGCCACAATCAAAGTGCCGCGTCCAGTGAGTCTTCGAGTCTTTGGTGGTGCCTTTAAAGGGCCACACTCTCAGTGCCGCGTTCAGTGGAGTGATCGCGTCTTTGGTGGTGCCTTTAAAGGGCCACACTCTTACTGCCGTGACCAGTGAGTGATCGAGTTGGTGGGGCCTTTAAAGGGCCACACTCTCAGTGCCGCGTTCAGTGGAGTAATCGCGTCTTTGGTGGTGCCTTTAAAGGGCCACACTCTTACTGCCGTGACCAGTGAGTGATCGAGTCTTTGGTGGTGCCTTTAAAGGGCCACACTCTCAGTGCCGCGTCAAGTGGAGTGATCGCGTTTTGGTGGTGCCTTTAAAGGGCCACACTCTCAGTGCAGCGTCCAGTGGAGTGATCGAGTCATCAGTGGTGCCTCTAAAGATCTACACTTTTAATGAAGCAGCCAGTGGAGTGTTCGAGTCATCGGTGGTGCCTCTAAAGGGTCACACTCTCAGTGCAGCGCCCAGTGGAGTGTTCGAGTCATCGGTGGTGCCTCCAAAGAGGCACACTGTCAGTGCCGGGTCCAGTTGAGTGATCGAGTCTTTGGTGGTGCCTTTAAAGAGCCACACTCTCAGTGCCGCGTCCAGTGGAGTAATCGAGTCTTTGGTGGTGCCTTTAAAGGGCCACACTCTCAGTGCCGCGTTCAGTGGAGTGATCGCGTCTTTGGTGGTGCCTTTAAAGGGCCACACTCTTACTGCCGTGACCAGTGAGTGATCGAGTCTTTGGTGGTGCCTTTAAAGGGCCACACTCTCAGTGCCGCGTCAAGTGGAGTGATCGCGTTTTGGTGGTGCCTTTAAAGGGCCACAATCTCAGTGCCGCGTTCAGTGGAGTGATCGCGTCTTTGGTGGTGCCTTTAAAGGGCCACACTCTTACTGCCGTGACCAGTGAGTGATTGAGTCTTTGGTGGTGCCTTTAAAGGGCCACACTCTCAGTGCCGCGTTCAGTGGAGTGATCGCGTCTTTGGTGGTGCCTTTAAAGGGCCACACTCTTACTGCCGTGACCAGTGAGTGATCGAGTTTTTGGTGGTGCCTTTAAAGGGCCACACTCTCAGTGCCGCGTTCAGTGGAGTGATCGCGTCTTTGGTGGTGCCTTTAAAGGGCCACACTCTCAGTGCAGCGTCCAGTGGAGTGATCGAGTCATCGGTGGTGCCTCCAAAGAGGCACACTGTCAGTGCCAGGTCCAGTTGAGTGATCGAGTCTTTGGTGGTGCCTTTAAAGGGCCACACTCTCAGTGCCGCGTCCAGTGGAGTAATCGAGTCTTTGGTGGTGCCTTTAAAGGGCCACAATCAAAGTGCCGCGTCCAGTGAGTCTTCGAGTCTTTGGTGGTGCCTTTAAAGGGCCACACTCTCAGTGCCGCGTTCAGTGGAGTGATCGCGTCTTTGGTGGTGCCTTTAAAGGGCCACACTCTTACTGCCGTGACCAGTGAGTGATCGAGTCTTTGATGGTGCCTTTAAAGGGCCACACTCTCAGTGCCGCGTCAAGTGGAGTGATCGCGTTTTGGTGGTGCCTTTAAAGGGCCACACTCTTACTGCAGTGACCAGTAAGTGTTCGAGTCTTTGGTGGTGTCTTTAAAGGGCCACACTCTCAGTGCCGTTTTCAGTGGAGTGATCGCGTCTTTGGTGGTGCCTTTAAAGGGCCACACTCTTACTGCCGTGACCAGTGAGTGATCGAGTTTTTGGTGGTGCCTTTAAAGGGCCACACTCTCAGTGCCGCGTTCAGTGGAGTGATCGCGTCTTTGGTGGTGCCTTTAAAGCGCCACACTCTTACTGCCGTGACCAGTGAGTGATCGAGTTTTTGGTGGTGCCTTTAAAGGGCCACACTCTCAGTGCAGCGTCCAGTGGAGTGATCGAGTCATCAGTGGTGCCTCTAAAGATCTACACTTTTAATGAAGCAGCCAGTGGAGTGTTCGAGTCATCGGTGGTGCCTCTAAAGAGCTACACTTTTAATGCAGCAGCCAGTGGAGTGTTCGAGTCATCGGTGGTGCCTCCAAAGAGGCACACTGTCAGTGCCGGGTCCAGTTGAGTGATCGAGTCTTTGGTGGTGCCTTTAAAGGGCCACAATCAAAGTGCCGCGTCCAGTGAGTCTTCGAGTCTTCGGTGGTGCCTTTAAAGGGCCACATTCTCATTACCGCATCCAGTGTAGTAATCGCCTTTTTGGTGGAGCCTTTAAAGGGCCACACTCTAAGTGCCGCGTCCAGTGGAGTGATCGAATCTTTGGTGGTGCCTTTAAAGGGCCACACTCTCAGTGCCGCGTCCAGTGGAGTAATCGAGTCCTTGATGGTGCCTTAGAAGGGCCACAATATAAGTGCCGCTTCCAGTGAGTCTTCGAGTCTTTGGTGGTACCTTTAAAGGGCCACAATCTCATTGCCGCATCCAGTGTAGTAATCGCGTCTTTGGTGGTGCCTTTAAAGGGCCACATTCTTAGTGCCGCGTCCAGTGGAGTGATCGAATCTTTGGTGGTGCCTTTAGAGGGCCACACTCTTAGTGCCGTGACCAGTGAGTGATCGAGTCTTTGGTGGTGCCTTTAAAGGGCCACACTCTTAGTGCCGCGTCCAGTGGAGTGATCGCGTTTTGGTGGTGCCTTTAAAGGGCCACACTCTTACTGCCGTGACCAGTGAGTGTTCGAGTCTTTGGTGGTGCCTTTAAAGGGCCACACTCTCAGTGCCGCGTTCAGTGGAGTGATCGCGTCTTTAGTGGTGCCTTTAAAGGGCCACACTCTTACTGCCGTGACCAGTGAGTGATCGAGTTTTTGGTGGTGCCTTTAAAGGGCCACACTCTCAGTGCCGCGTTCAGTGGAGTGATCGCGTCTTTGGTGGTGCCTTTAAAGGGCCACACTCTTACTGCCGTGACCAGTGAGTGATCGAGTCTTTGGTGGTGCCTTTAAAGGGCCACATTCTCAGTGCCGCGTTCAGTGGAGTGATCGAGTCTTTGGTGGTGCCTTTAAAGGGCCACACTCTCAGTGCCGCGTCCAGTGGAGTAATCGAGTCTTTGGTGGTGCCTTTAAAGGGCCACAATCAAAGTGCCGCGTCCAGTGAGTCTTCGAGTCTTTGGTGGTGCCTTTAAAGGGCCACACTCTCAGTGCCGCGTTCAGTGGAGTGATCGCGTCTTTGGTGGTGCCTTTAAAGGGCCACACTCTTACTGCCGTGACCAGTGAGTGATCAAGTCTTTGATGGTGCCTTTAAAGGGCCACACTCTCAGTGCCGCGTCAAGTGGAGTGATCGCGTTTTGGTGGTGCCTTTAAAGGGCCACACTCTTACTGCCGTGACCAGTAAGTGTTCGAGTCTTTGGTGGTGTCTTTAAAGGGCCACACTCTCAGTGCCGCGTTCAGTGGAGTGATCGCGTCTTTGGTGGTGCCTTTAAAGGGCCACACTCTTACTGCCGTGACCAGTGAGTGATCGAGTTTTTGGTGGTGCCTTTAAAGGGCCACACTCTCAGTGCCGCGTTCAGTGGAGTGATCGCGTCTTTGGTGGTGCCTTTAAAGCGCCACACTCTTACTGCCGTGACCAGTGAGGGATCGAGTTTTTGGTGGTGCCTTTAAAGGGCCACACTCTCAGTGCAGCGTCCAGTGGAGTGATCGAGTCATCAGTGGTGCCTCTAAAGATCTACACTTTTAATGAAGCAGCCAGTGGAGTGTTCGAGTCATCGGTGGTGCCTCCAAAGAGGCACACTGTCAGTGCCGGGTCCAGTTGAGTGATCGAGTCTTTGGTGGTGCCTTTAAAGGGCCACACTCTCAGTGCCGCGTCCAGTGGAGTAATCGAGGCTTTGGTGGTGCCTTTAAAGGGCCACAATCAAAGTGCCGCGTCCAGTGAGTCTTCGAGTCTTTGGTGGTGCCTTTAAAGGGCCACATTCTCATTACCGCATCCAGTGTAGTAATCGCATTTTTTGTGGAGCCTTTAAAGGGCCACACTCTAAGTGCCGCGTCCAGTGGAGTGATCGAATCTTTGGTGGTGCCTTTAAAGGGCCACACTCTCAGTGCCGCGTCCAGTGGAGTAATCGAGTCCTTGATGGTGCCTTAGAAGGGCCACAATATAAGTGCCGCTTCCAGTGAGTCTTCGAGTCTTTGGTGGTACCTTTAAAGGGCCACAATCTCATTGCCGCATCCAGTGTAGTAATCGCGTCTTTGGTGGTGCCTTTAAAGGGCCACATTCTTAGTGCCGCGTCCAGTGGAGTGATCGAATCTTTGGTGGTGCCTTTAGAGGGCCACACTCTTAGTGCCGTGACCAGTGAGTGATCGAGTCTTTGGTGGTGCCTTTAAAGGGCCACACTCTTAGTGCCGCGTCCAGTGGAGTGATCGCGTTTTGGTGGTGCCTTTAAAGGGCCACACTCTTACTGCCGTGACCAGTGAGTGTTCGAGTCTTTGGTGGTGCCTTTAAAGGGCCACACTCTCAGTGCCGCGTTCAGTGGAGTGATCGCGTCTTTAGTGGTGCCTTTAAAGGGCCACACTCTTACTGCCGTGACCAGTGAGTGATCGAGTTTTTGGTGGTGCCTTTAAAGGGCCACACTCTCAGTGCCGCGTTCAGTGGAGTGATCGCGTCTTTGGTGGTGCCTTTAAAGGGCCACACTCTTACTGCCGTGACCAGTGAGTGATCGAGTCTTTGGTGGTGCCTTTAAAGGGCCACACTCTCAGTGCCGCGTTCAGTGGAGTGATCGCGTCTTTGGTGGTGCCTTTAAAGGGCCACACTCTTACTGCCGTGACCAGTGAGTGATCGAGTTTTTGGTGGTGCCTTTAAAGGGCCACACTCTCAGTGCCGCGTTCAGTGGAGTGATCGCGTCTTTGGTGGTGCCTTTAAAGGGCCACACTCTCAGTGCAGCGTCTAGTGGAGTGATCGAGTCATCAGTGGTGCCTCTAAAGATCTACACTTTAAATGAAGCAGCCAGTGGAGTGTTCGAGTCATCGGTGGTGCCTCTAAAGGGTCACACTCTCAGTGCAGCGCCCAGTGGAGTGTTCGAGTCATCGGTGGTGCCTCCAAAGAGCTACACTTTTAATGCAGCAGCCAGTGGAGTGTTCGAGTCATCGGTGGTGCCTCCAAAGAGGCACACTGTCAGTGCCGGGTCCAGTTGAGTGATCGAGTCTTTGGTGGTGCCTTTAAAGGGCCACACTCTCAGTGCCGCGTCCAGTGGAGTAATTGAGTCTTTGGTGGTGCCTTTAAAGGGCCACAATCAAAGTGCCGCGTCCAGTGAGTCTTCGAGTCTTTGGTGGTGCCTTTAAAGGGCCACATTCTCAGTGCCGCGTTCAGTGGAGTGATCGCGTCTTTGGTGGTGCCTTTAAAGGGCCACACTCTTAGTGCCGTGACCAGTGAGTGATCGAGTTTTTGGTGGGGCCTTTAAAGGGCCACACTCTCAGTGCCGCATTCAGTGGAGTGATCGCGTCTTTGGTGGTGCCTTTAAAGGGCCACAATATAAGTGCTACGTCCAACGAGTCTTCGAGTCTTTAGTGGTACCTTTAAAGGGCCACAATCTCATTGCCGCATCCAGTGTAGTAATCGCGTCTTTGGTGGTGCCTTTAAAGGGCCACATTCTTAGTGCTGCGTCCAGTGGAGTGATCGAATCTTTGGTGGTGCCTTTAGAGGGCCACACTCTTAGTGCCGTGACCAGTGAGTGATCGAGTCTTTGGTGGTGCCTTTAAAGGGCCACACTCTCAGTGCCGCGTTCAGTGGAGTGATCGCGTCTTTGGTGGTGCCTTTAAAGGGCCACACTCTTACTGCCGTGACCAGTGAGTGTTCGAGTCTTTGGTGGTGCCTTTAAAGGGCCACACTCTCAGTGCCACGTTCAGTGGAGTGATCGCGTCTTTGGTGGTGCCTTTAAAGGGCCACACTCTTACTGCCGTGACCAGTGAGTGATCGAGTTTTTGGTGGTGCCTTTAAAGGGCCACACTCTCAGTGCCGCGTTCAGTGGAGTGATCGCGTCTTTGGTGGTGCCTTTAAAGGGCCACACTCTTACTGCCGTGACCAGTGAGTGATCGAGTCTTTGGTGGTGCCTTTAAAGGGCCACACTCTCAGTGCCGCGTCAAGTGGAGTGATCGCGTTTTGGTGGTGCCTTTAAAGGGCCACACTCTTACTGCCGTGACCAGTAAGTGTTCGAGTCTTTGGTGGTGCCTTTAAAGGGCCACACTCTCAGTGCCGCGTTCAGTGGAGTGATCGCGTGGGCCACACTCTTACTGCCGTGACCAGTGAGTGATCGAGTTTTTGGTGGTGCCTTTAAAGGGCCACACTCTCAGTGCCGCGTTCAGTGGAGTGATCGCGTCTTTGGTGGTGCCTTTAAAGGGCCACACTCTCAGTGCAGCGTCCAGTGGAGTGATCGAGTCATCAGTGTCGCCTCTAAAGATCTACACTTTTAATGAAGCAGCCAGTGGAGTGTTCGAGTCATCGGTGGTGCCTCTAAAGGGTCACACTCTCAGTGCAGCGCCCAGTGGAGTGTTCGAGTCATCGGTGGTGCCTCCAAAGAGGCACACTGTCAGTGCCGGGTCCAGTTGAGTGATCGAGTCTTTGGTGGTGCCTTTAAAGGGCCACACTCTCAGTGCCGCGTCCAGTGGAGTAATCGAGTCTTTGGTGGTGCCTTTAAAGGGCCACAATCAAAGTGCCGCGTCCAGTGAGTCTTCGAGTCTTTGGTGGTGCCTTTAAAGGGCCACACTCTCAGTGCCGCGTTCAGTGGAGTGATCGCGTCTTTGGTGGTGCCTTTAAAGGGCCACACTCTTACTGCCGTGACCAGTGAGTGATCGAGTCTTTGGTGGTGCCTTTAAAGGGCCACACTCTTACTGCCGTGACCAGTGAGTGATCGAGTTTTTGGTGGGGCCTTTAAAGGGCCACAATCTCAGTGCCGCGTTCAGTGGAGTGATCGCGTCTTTGGTGGTGCCTTTAAAGGGCCACACTCTTACTGCCGTGACCAGTGAGTGATCGAGTCTTTGGTGGTGCCTTTAAAGGGCCACACTCTCAGTGCCGCGTCAAGTGGAGTGATCGCGTTTTGGTGGTGCCTTTAAAGGGCCACACTCTTACTGCCGTGACCAGTGAGTGATCGAGTTTTTGGTGGTGCCTTTAAAGGGCCACACTCTCAGTGCCGGGTCCAGTTGAGTGATCGAGTCTTTGGTGGTGCCTTTAAAGGGCCACACTCTCAGTGCCGCGTCCAAAGGAGTAATCGAGTCTTTGGTGGTGCCTTTAAAGGGCCACAATCAAAGTGCCGCGTCCAGTGAGTCTTCGAGTCTTTGGTGGTGCCTTTAAAGGGCCACACTCTCAGTGCCGCGTTCAGTGGAGTGATCGCGTCTTTGGTGGTGCCTTTAAAGGGCCACACTCTCAGTGCAGCGTCCAGTGGAGTGATCGAGTCATCAGTGGTGCCTCTAAAGATCTACACTTTTAATGAAGCAGCCAGTGGAGTGTTCGAGTCATCGGTGGTGCCTCTAAAGGGTCACACTCTCAGTGCAGCGCCCAGTGGAGTGTTCGAGTCATCGGTGGTGCCTCCAAAGAGGCACACTGTCAGTGCCGGGTCCAGTTGAGTGATCGAGTCTTTGGTGGTGCCTTTAAAGGGCCACACTCTCAGTGCCGCGTTCAGTGGAGTGATCGCGTCTTTGGTGGTGCCTTTAAAGGGCCACACTCTTACTGCCGTGACCAGTGAGTGTTCGAGTCTTTGGTGGTGCCTTTAAAGGGCCACACTCTCAGTGCCACGTTCAGTGGAGTGATCGCGTCTTTGGTGGTGCCTTTAAAGGGCCACACTCTTACTGCCGTGACCAGTGAGTGATCGAGTTTTTGGTGGTGCCTTTAAAGGGCCACACTCTCAGTGCCGCGTTCAGTGGAGTGATCGCGTCTTTGGTGGTGCCTTTAAAGGGCCACACTCTTACTGCCGTGACCAGTGAGTGATCGAGTCTTTGGTGGTGCCTTTAAAGGGCCACACTCTCAGTGCCGCGTCAAGTGGAGTGATCGCGTTTTGGTGGTGCCTTTAAAGGGCCACACTCTTACTGCCGTGACCAGTAAGTGTTCGAGTCTTTGGTGGTGCCTTTAAAGGGCCACACTCTCAGTGCCGCGTTCAGTGGAGTGATCGCGTGGGCCACACTCTTACTGCCGTGACCAGTGAGTGATCGAGTTTTTGGTGGTGCCTTTAAAGGGCCACACTCTCAGTGCCGCGTTCAGTGGAGTGATCGCGTCTTTGGTGGTGCCTTTAAAGGGCCACACTCTCAGTGCAGCGTCCAGTGGAGTGATCGAGTCATCAGTGTCGCCTCTAAAGATCTACACTTTTAATGAAGCAGCCAGTGGAGTGTTCGATTCATCGGTGGTGCCTCTAAAGGGTCACACTCTCAGTGCAGCGCCCAGTGGAGTGTTCGAGTCATCGGTGGTGCCTCCAAAGAGCTACACTTTTAATGCAGCAGCCAGTGGAGTGTTCGAGTCATCGGTGGTGCCTCCAAAGAGGCACACTGTCAGTGCCGGGTCCAGTTGAGTGATCGAGTCTTTGGTGGTGCCTTTAAAGAGCCACACTCTCAGTGCCGCGTCCAGTGGAGTAATCGAGTCTTTGGTGGTGCCTTTAAAGGGCCACAATCAAAGTGCCGCGTCCAGTGAGTCTTCGAGTCTTTGGTGGTGCCTTTAAAGGGCCACACTCTCAGTGCCGCGTTCAGTGGAGTGATCGCGTCTTTGGTGGTGCCTTTAAAGGGCCACACTCTTACTGCCGTGACCAGTGAGTGATCGAGTTTTTGGTGGGGCCTTTAAAGGGCCACAATCTCAGTGCCGCGTTCAGTGGAGTGATCGCGTCTTTGGTGGTGCCTTTAAAGGGCCACACTCTTACTGCCGTGACCAGTGAGTGATCGAGTCTTTGGTGGTGCCTTTAAAGGGCCACACTCTCAGTGCCGCGTCAAGTGGAGTGATCGCGTTTTGGTGGTGCCTTTAAAGGGCCACACTCTTACTGCCGTGACCAGTAAGTGTTCGAGTCTTTGGTGGTGCCTTTAAAGGGCCACACTCTCAGTGCCGCGTTCAGTGGAGTGATCGCGTCTTTGGTGGTGCCTTTAAAGGGCCACACTCCTACTGCCGTGACCAGTGAGTGATCGAGTTTTTGGTGGTGCCTTTAAAGGGCCACACTCTCAGTGCCACGTTCAGTGGAGTGATCGCGTCTTTGGTGGTGCCTTTAAAGGGCCACACTCTCAGTGCAGCGTCCAGTGGAGTGATCGAGTCATCAGTGGTGCCTCTAAAGATCTACACTTTTAATGAAGCAGCCAGTGGAGTGTTCGAGTCATCGGTGGTGCCTCTAAAGGGTCACACTCTCAGTGCAGCGCCCAGTGGAGTGTTCGAGTCATCGGTGGTGCCTCCAAAGAGCTACACTTTTAATGCAGCAGCCAGTGGAGTGTTCGAGTCATCGGTGGTGCCTCCAAAGAGGCACACTGTCAGTGCCAGGTCCAGTTGAGTGATCGAGTCTTTGGTGGTGCCTTTAAAGGGCCACACTCTCAGTGCCGCGTCCAAAGGAGTAATCGAGTCTTTGGTGGTGCCTTTAAAGGGCCACAATCAAAGTGCCGCGTCCAGTGAGTCTTCGAGTCTTTGGTGGTGCCTTTAAAGGGCCACACTCTCAGTGCCGCGTTCAGTGGAGTGATCGCGTCTTTGGTGGTGCCTTTAAAGGGCCACACTCTCAGTGCAGCGTCCAGTGGAGTGATCGAGTCATCAGTGGTGCCTCTAAAGATCTACACTTTTAATGAAGCAGCCAGTGGAGTGTTCGAGTCATCGGTGGTGCCTCTAAAGGGTCTGACTCTCAGTGCAGCGCCCAGTGGAGTGTTCGAGTCATCGGTGGTGCCTCCAAAGAGGCACACTGTCAGTGCCGGGTCCAGTTGAGTGATCGAGTCTTTGGTGGTGCCTTTAAAGGGCCACACTCTCAGTGCCGCGTTCAGTGGAGTGATCGCGTCTTTGGTGGTGCCTTTAAAGGGCCACACTCTTACTGCCGTGACCAGTGAGTGATCGAGTTTTTGGTGGTGCCTTTAAAGGGCCACACTCTCAGTGCCGCGTACAGTGGAGTGATCGCGTCTTTGGTGGTGCCTTTAAAGGGCCACACTCTCAGTGCAGCGTCTAGTGGAGTGATCGAGTCATCAGTGGTGCCTCTTAAGATCTACACTTTAAATGAAGCAGCCAGTGGAGTGTTCGAGTCATCGGTGGTGCCTCTAAAGGGTCACACTCTCAGTGCAGCGCCCAGTGGAGTGTTCGAGTCATCGGTGGTGCCTCCAAAGAGCTACACTTTTAATGCAGCAGCCAGTGGAGTGTTCGAGTCATCGGTGGTGCCTCCAAAGAGGCACACTGTCAGTGCCGGGTCCAGTTGAGTGATCGAGTCTTTGGTGGTGCCTTTAAAGGGCCACACTCTCAGTGCCGCGTCCAGTGGAGTAATCGATTCTTTGGTGGTGCCTTTAAAGGGCCACAATCAAAGTGCTGCGTCCAGTTTGTCTTCGAGTCTTTGGTGGTGCCTTTAAAGGGCCACATTCTCAGTGCCGCGTTCAGTGGAGTGATCGCGTCTTTGGTGGTGCCTTTAAAGGGCCACACTCTTACTGCCGTGACCAGTGAGTGATCGAGTTTTTGGTGGTGCCTTTAAAGGGCCACACTCTCAGTGCCGCGTTTAGTGGAGTGATCGCGTCTTTGGTGGTGCCTTTAAAGGGCCACACTCTTACTGCCGTGACCAGTGAGTGATCGAGTCTTTGGTGGTGCCTTTAAAGGGCCACACTCTCAGTGCCGCGTCAAGTGGAGTGATCGCGTTTTGGTGGTGCCTTTAAAGGGCCACACTCTTACTGCCGTGACCAGTAAGTGTTCGAGTCTTTGGTGGTGCCTTTAAAGGGCCACACTCTCAGTGCCACGTTCAGTGGAGTGATCGCGTCTTTGGTGATGCCTTTAAAGGGCCACACTCTTACTGCCGTGACCAGTGAGTGATCGAGTTTTTGGTGGTGCCTTTAAAGGGCCACACTCTCAGTGCCGCGTTCAGTGGAGTGATCGCGTCTTAGGTGGGGCCTCCAAAGAGCTACACTTTTAATGCAGCAGGCAGTGGAGTGTTCGAGTCATCGGTGGTGCCTCCAAAGAGGCACACTGTCAGTGCCGGGTCCAGTTGAGTGATCGAGTCTTTGGTGGTGCCTTTAAAGGGCCACACTCTCAGTGCCGCGTCCAGTGGAGTAATCGAGTCTTTGGTGGTGCCTTTAAAGGGCCACAATCAAAGTGCCGCGTCCAGTGAGTCTTCGAGTCTTTGGTGGTGCCTTTAAAGAGCCACAATCTCATTGCCGCATCCAGTGTAGTAATCGCCTTTTTGGTGGTGCCTTTAAAGGGCCACACTCTAAGTGCCGCGTCCAGTGGAGTGATCGAATCTTTGGTGGTGCCTTTAAAGGGCCACACTCTCAGTGCGGCGTCCAGTGGAGTAATCGAGTCTTTGGTGGTGCCTTTAAAGGGCCACAATATAAGTGCCGCGTCCAGTGAGTCTTCGAGTCTTTGGTGGTACCTTTAAAGGGCCACAATCTCATTGCCGCATCCAGTGTAGTAATCGCGTCTTTGGTGGTGCCTTTAAAGGGCCACATTCTTAGTGCCGCGTCCAGTGGAGTGATCGAATCTTTGGTGGTGCCTTTAGAGGGCCACTCTCTTAGTGCCGTGACCAGTGAGTGATCGAGTCTTTGGTGGTGCCTTGAAAGGGCCAGACTCTCAGTGCCGCGTCCAGTGGAGTGATCGCGTTTTGGTGGTGCCTTTAAAGGGCCACACTCTTACTGCCGTGACCAGTGAGTGTTCGAGTCTTTGGTGGTGCCTTTAAAGGGCCACACTCTCAGTGCCGCGTTCAGTGGAGTGATCGCGTCTTTGGTGGTGCCTTTAAAGGGCCACACTCTTACTGCCGTGACCAGTGAGTGATCGAGTTTTGGTGGTGCCTTTAAAGGGCCACACTCTCAGTGCCGCGTTCAGTGGAGTGATCGCGTCTTTGGTGGTGCCTTTAAAGGGCCACACTCTTACTGCCGTGACCAGTGAGTGATCGAGTCTTTGGTGGTGCCTTTAAAGGGCCACACTCTCAGTGCCGCGTCAAGTGGAGTGATCGCGTTTTGGTGGTGCCTTTAAAGGGCCACACTCTTACTGCCGTGACCAGTAAGTGTTCGAGTCTTTGGTGGTGCCTTTAAAGGGCCACACTCTCAGTGCCGCGTTCAGTAGAGTGATCGCGTCTTTGGTGGTGCCTTTAAAGGGCCACACTCTTACTGCCGTGACCAGTGAGTGATCGAGTTTTTGGTGGTGCCTTTAAAGGGTCACACTCTCAGTGCCGCGTTCAGTGGAGTGATCGCGTCTTTGGTGGTGCCTTTAAAGGGCCACACTCTCAGTGCAGCGTCCAGTGGAGTGATCGAGTCATCAGTGGTGCCTCTAAAGATCTACACTTTTAATGAAGCAGCCAGTGGAGTGTTCGAGTCATCGGTGGTGCCTCTAAAGGGTCACACTCTCATTGCAGCGCCCAGTGGAGTGTTCGAGTCATCGGTGGTGCCTCCAAAGAGCTACACTTTTAATGCAGCTGCCAGTGGAGTGTTCGAGTCATCGGTGGTGCCTCCAAAGAGGCACACTGTCAGTGCCGGGTCCAGTTGAGTGATCGAGTCTTTGGTGGTGCCTTTAAAGGGCCACACTCTCAGTGCCGCGTCCAGTGGAGTAATCGAGTCTTTGGTGGTGCCTTTAAAGGGCCACAATCAAAGTGCCGCGGTTAGTGAGTCTTCGAGTCTTTGGTGGTGGCTTTAAAGGGCCTCACTCTCAGTGCCGCGTTCAGTGGAGTGATCGCGTCTTTGGTGGTGCCTTTAAAGGGCCACACTCTTACTGCCGTGACCAGTGAGTGATCGAGTTTTTGGTGGGGCCTTTAAAGGGCCACACTCTCAGTGCCGCGTTCAGTGGAGTGATCGCGTCTTTGGTGGTGCCTTTAAAGGGCCACACTCTTACTGCCGTGACCAGTGAGTGATCGAGTCTTTGGTGGTGCCTTTAAAGGGCCACACTCTCAGTGCCGCGTCAAGTGGAGTGATCGCGTTTTGGTGGTGCCTTTAAAGGGCCACACTCTTACTGCCGTGACCAGTAAGTGTTCGAGTCTTTGGTGGTGCCTTTAAAGGGCCACACTCTCAGTGCCGCGTTCAGTGGAGTGATCGCGTCTTTGGTGGTGCCTTTAAAGGGCCACACTCTTACTGCCGTGACCAGTGAGTGATCGAGTTTTTGGTGGTGCCTTTAAAAGGCCACACTCTCAGTGCCGCGTTCAGTGGAGTGATCGCGTCTTTGGTGGTGCTTTTAAAGGGCCACACTCTCAGTGCAGCGTCCAGTGGAGTGATCGAGTCATCAGTGGTGCCTCTAAAGATCTACACTTTTAATGCAGCAGCCAGTGGAGTGTTCGAGTCATCGGTGGTGCCTCCAAAGAGGCACACTGTCAGTGCCGGGTCCAGTAAGTGTTCGAGTCTTTGGTGGTGCCTTTAAAGGGCCACACTCTCAGTGCAGCGTCCAGTGGAGTGATCGAGTCATCAGTGGTGCCTCTAAAGATCTACACTTTTAATGAAGCAGCCAGTGGAGTGTTCGAGTCATCGGTGGTGCCTCTAAGGGGTCACACTCTCAGTGCAGCTTTCAGTGGAGTGATTGAGTCATCGGTGGTGCCTCTAAAGAGCTACACTTTTAATGCAGCAGCCAGTGGAGTGTTCGAGTCATCGGTGGTGCCTCCAAAGAGTCACACTTTCAGTGCCGGGTCCAGTTGAGTGATCGAGTCTTTGGTGGTGCCTTTAAAGGGCCACAATCTCAGTGCCGCATCCAGTGTAGTAAACGCGTTTTTGGTGGTGCCTTTAAAGGGCCACACTCTCAGTGCCGCGTTCAGTGGAGTGATCGCGTCTTTGGTGGTGCCTTTAAAGGGCCACACTCTTACTGCCGTGACCAGTGAGTGATCGAGTCTTTGGTGGTGCCTTTAAAGGGCCACACTCTCAGTGCCGCGTCAAGTGGAGTGATCGCGTTTTGGTGGTGCCTTTAAAGGGCCACACTCTTACTGCCGTGACCAGTAAGTGTTCGAGTCTTTGGTGGTGCCTTTAAAGGGCCACACTCTCAGTGCCGCGTTCAGTGGAGTGATCGCGTCTTTGGTGGTGCCTTTAAAGGGCCACACTCTTACTGCCGTGACCAGTGAGTGATCGAGTCTTTGGTGGTGCCTTTAAAGGGCCACACTCTCAGTGCCGCGTTCAGTGGAGTGATCGCGTCTTTGGTGGTGCCTTTAAAGCGCCACACTCTTACTGCCGTGACCAGTGAGTGATCGAGTCTTTGGTGGTGCCTTTAAAGGGCCACACTCTCAGTGCAGCGTCCAGTGGAGTGATCGAGTCATCAGTGGTGCCTCTAAAGATCTACACTTTTAATGAAGCAGCCAGTGGAGTGTTCGAGTCATCGGTGGTGCCTCTAAAGGGTTACACTCTCAGTGCACCGCCCAGTGGAGTGATTGAGTCATCGTTGGGGCCTCTAAAGAGCTACACTTTTAATGCAGCAGCCAGTGGAGTGTTCGAGTCATCGGTGGGGATTCCAAAGAGTCACTCTTTCAGTAACGGGTCCAGTTGAGTGATCGAGTCTTTGGTGGTGCCTTTAAAGGGCCACACTCTTAGTGCCGCGTCCAGTAAGTGCTCGAGTTTTTGGTGGTGCCTTTAAAGGGCCACAATCTCAGTGCCGCATCCAGTGTAGTAATCGCGTTTTTGGTGGTGCCTTTAAAGGGGCACACTCTAAGTGCCGTGTCCAGTGGAGTGATCGAGCCTTTGGTGGTGCCTTTAATGGGCCACATTTCTTAGTGCCGCGTCCATTGGAGTGATAGAATCTTTGGTGGTGCCTTTAAAGGGCCACAATCTCATTGCCGCTTCCAGTGTAGTAATCGCGTCTTTGGTGGTGCCTTTAAAGGGCCACATTCTTAGTGCCACGTCCAGTGGAGTGATCGAATCTTTGGTGGTGCCTTTAGAGGGCCACACTCTTAGTGCCGTGACCAGTGAGTGATCGAGTCTTTGGTGGTGCCTTTAAAGGGCCACACTCTCAGTGCCGCGTCCAGTGGAGTGATCGCGTCTTTGGTGGTGCCTTTAAAGGGCCACACTCTTACTGCCGTGACCAGTGAGTGTTCGAGTCTCTGGTGGTGCCTTTAAAAGGCCACACTCTCAGTGCCGCGTTCAGTGGAGTGATCGCGTCTTTGGTGGTGCCTTTAAAGGGCCACACTCTCAGTGCCGCGTCAAGTTGAGTGATCGCGTTTTGGTGGTGCCTTTAAAGGGCCACACTCTTACTGCCGTGACCAGTAAGTGTTCGAGTCTTTGGTGGTGCCTTTAAAGGGCCACACTCTCAGTGCCGCGTTCAGCGGAGTGATCGCGTCTTTGGTGGTGCCTTTAAAGGGCCACACTCTTACTGCCGTGACCAGTGAGTGATCGAGTTTTTGGTGGTGCCTTTAAAGGGCCACACTCTCAGTGCCGCGTTCAGTGGAGTGATCGCGTCTTTGGTGGTGCCTTTAAAGGGCCACACTCTTACTGCCGTGACCAGTGAGTGATCGAGTCTTTGGTGGTGCCTTTAAAGGGCCACACTCTCAGTGCCGGGTCCAGTGGAGTGATCGCGTCTTTGGTGGTGCCTTTAAAGGGCCACACTCTTACTGCCGTGACCAGTGAGTGTTCGAGTCTTTGGTGGTGCCTTTAAAGGGCCACACTCTCAGTGCAGCGTCCAGTGGAGTGATCGAGTCATCAGTGGTGCCTCTAAAGATCTACACTTTTAATGAAGCAGCCAGTGGAGTGTTCGAGTCATCGGTGGTGCCTCTAAAGGGTCACACTTTCAGTGCCGGGTCCAGTTGAGTGATCGAGTCTTTGGTGGTGCCTTTAAAGGGCCACACTCTTAGTGCCGCGTCCAGTGAGTGCTCGAGTCTTTGGTGGTGCCTTTAAAGGGCTACAATCTCAGTGCCGCGTCCAGTGGAGTAATCGAGTGTTTGGTGGTGCCTCTAAAGGGCCACATAATCAGTAAACAAGTGCTGTATGTTAGTATTATTATACAGGGTGACCATTAAGTCTTAGGACGACTTTATAACTTTTAAATGACAAACGATATCACAACCACATTTTGTATACCGCGCCTGGAAATTGTAAGCTACTTTTCTGTGTACATGGTGGACGGATATCACCTTTGGGGGACGGCCCGTCGGGGGCAGAAGAAAATCTTTAAAGACAGCCTATGTTGAGTTGTACATAATTTTAAAGGTCTACTTCAACTGAAAACATTGCCGCAAACCGCACTTCAAAAGGTTGATCCTGCGCAAAATGGCAGATGTTCAAAGATTTTCAAAATTAGCTAATTTCTTTAAATTAAAACACTTTTTTAAATCATTAAACAACTATCATTTTTTAACGGATGGTCCTTTTGAAGTACCGTTTGTGGCATTGTATTCTACTAATAAATACCTTTTATTTGATGTGCATATCAACCTACGCTTCCATTCAAGATTTACTTCCGACTCCTTGTGGGCCGTCGCCCTGAAGAGTTATTTAGATCACTGAATGTAAAGTTATGGGGATCATTTTAAAGGGAATTTTAAGCAAATAAGAATGCCGCAAACCGTACTTCAAAAGGACCATCCGTTAAAAAATGACAGTTGCTTAAAGATTTAAAAAAGTGTTTTAATTTAGAAATTGGCTAATTTTGAAAATCTTTGAACATCTGCCATTTTGCGCAGGATCAACCTTTTGAAGTGCGATTTGCGGCATTGTTTTCAGTTGAAGTAGACCTTTGAAATGATGTACAACTGAACATAGGCTGTCATTAAAGATTCTCTTCTGACCCCCGACGGGCCGTCCCCCAAAGGTGATATCCGACCACCATGTACACAGAAAAGTAGCTTAAAATTTCCAGTAACGGTATACCAAATGTGGTTGTGATATCGTTTGTCGTTAAAAAGTTATAAAGTCCTCCTAAGACTTAACGGTCACCCTGTATATTCTGCCAAATTTACTTTTTTTTATCACTGTTATTGCCATTTAAATATTTATATATCATGTTATTAATTTATAAATTTCTTTCAATTGTTGTTACTCTTTCTTGTTTCAAGTTTTATTTTTAGTCAAATTAATTAAGCCATGCATGTTGCATATTTTTATTTGTTGTATCAAATATCAAGAAACTGAATGTAAAATGGTGTTGCTGTGTATAAATAAATAAAGCTCTGTGAGATATTACATTTTTTATTTAAATAACTACTTAATCAGCATTTACGTGTTATTAATTTTATGGAAAGTAAATCAAAGAAACCTCTTATAACACTTCAAACATATATTTACGCTTATAATGTTACTCACAAGACTGTTAATATGCAAAAAAGATTGTAAGTGTTGATCGATTTCGATTGGATTGATCATTCGCCTATTGGGTCTGATGATGATTGATTTGGAGTGTCCAATCGAAATTGATCACCACTTACCATCTTTTTTGTATATTTACCGTTTTGTGAGTAACAGTATAAGCATAAATATATGTTTTAAGTGTTATACGTTTCTTTTATTTACTTTCCGTATTATTTATTTCTAGTGATATTTTCATACAACGATGTAGGTTTCTGCGTAATTGTGTAGCGCCAAGATGTCACATTATAATTTCTCGTCAAAAAAATGCTTGTTTGCAGATGCAATATGTTTTGAGACTATAATCAGTTTTGGGACGGTTAAGGGCTGTGAGATTTCACATTGTTTATTACACGTCATGATAATTGTTTTTTTTTTCATCGCTGAAGCTGCAACTTGATGGTGAAGTGATGTAAGATGTCAAATTATATTTTCTCATGATTATAATTTTTTTTTTTTTTAATTTTTTCTAGGTACTAAGAAATTACAAAATAATGATTGAGTTTTTTTCTTAAAGTTTTGTCAAAGGTTTTGTTTTTATTTTCAAAGATAATACTTTTTCCAAAACAGCTGGCTTTTATATTCAACTATAAAAAAAAAAAATTATCTATATAATTATTACGCTACATGAAACTTAGTCGGTTGAACTCCTCCGCCATTTCTTAACCGATTTTATCCATTGACGTCTCACAGATTGAGCGTGTCACATAGATTTGCAAACTGGCCTTACATTTTTGAAAAAGTCCCTTGGGCTCTGCCCCAGTGGCTTTGAAAGTTCCCATGTTATCCTTATGAAGAACATAATTTTTTACATTTTAATCAGCTGTATAATTTAGTTGCTGTTATTTATTTTTCAATTCAACGAAACGCATTGGGTACATTTACTGATTTTGTTGAAATTAAATATTTACTATTTTAATTTAAGTTCGTACATATTACAATGTAAAAAATTGAGAAAGCCAATTTGATATATTTTACCAAATAAGAAAAATTAATTGACAGGGTACTGTAATTCTTGAGCAATCATTGAAAGAACCGATTTGTTGACCATGGAAACATAGGAAACTAGGAAAGTAATAGAACGCCATCAAGTAGAAGAAACAGAGCTTAAATAAAAAAACTACTATTGTTATCATCCTATATAATGAAGAACACCTACAATATGAAGATTCCCACAAACAATAAACAAGGATGTTAGCTGAAGTGCTACTTTTTTGTAGGAAACACGGACTTAACTTTATGATGATTGGCAAAGGAAACCCCTCTAAGGCTGAATTAAACTGGTACGTCAAGGATATTAAATATATGTTTTCATAAAAGTCAAGTGATTTTAAAATAATATTACTACATCCAAGAAACCTTAATACAACTTTCATTGAAGGATTCGCATTATTCACATTGTTATTCACATTCAAGGGAAACAAAAAACAATCTGAACCCTTTCAATTCTTAATTTTTTTAAGGTAAATATAACTTACTTTATAATAGTAACAAGCCAAATAAATGCCAATTGAAGCAAATAAAATTGTAACAGAGAGGTTATGCAGAAAATCAGGCAGTTCTTAAGTAATGTAAACAAAATTTTATTACCGTACTACAAAAAATGACTGAAATTTGTAAACTAACGTACTGGCGACAATGGGTGGTACCATGCTGACTACAATATCATTGACGAAGATCAACATGGGCATGGGCAACCTAATGCGGCTATAAGTGGGAAACATTTGTAAAATACAGTACACTAAAAACCATATCAGCTTATGAAAAATGATTAAATATTTACGAGAAATGTTTATTATATACAGTAAAACTGTTAGGTACGTAATCTATGAGTTGTCTTTTAAACTGATTGGAAATTATGACTTTTATTCGTTTTTAAATAAGTTATTTGTTTTTAAATAACTACTTTACTTCTTTGCAATTGCTCGATTTCGAACAACATGTACACTAGTATACAATCAAACAGTGTCTTCAATGTAAGATTTGTGAATATATGAGGTGATGGTTTAGAATACAGTTCTTTGTGAAAGTAGTGTTTCAATGTGAGTGATAAACAGCAAGACCAGTGACGCCACTTCCCTTCAATATAATGTTTAAATTATCTTTTTGGGGACCCTGTATTTAGGTATAATTGTTGACAAAAGTTAGATCAGTTCTACAAGTCAATACAACATTGGGGCAAGTTTCTTCTTATTTGTCCATTCTGTCATCGTAATTCACTAAATTAATTCTTCAAAACATCTTGCATGACATATATTTAATAACGATAAAAGATAACAAATATTTAATGAAAATATATTTTTTTTATTGTACAATGTATTTCAAAATTTAAAGAGCTCTTAGTGCCATTATCATATTCCAGAGTTTTAACTTCCCAGTGCGCGCTAATTTAGTTCAAATTAGGTCCCTCCTAAAAGCTGTAGGATTTTATAAACCGTATTCATAAAAAAATTGTATAGTGTTTAATTGCTATTTATTTGTGATTAATTTGATATTGAAAGAAAATACTCTAAGCATGTACTGTACCCTTTTAATCAATAAATATGTATTATGGTATTATCAAGTAAGGGGATGAGGTGAGCCCCCCCCTGTTGAGAATCCATCTTGGAGCCACAACTGTGTATAACAATAAATTTATTAATTTAAAATTAAACCATACAGAACACATTCTGTTTTCAAGATTTCAAAATGCAACTGTCACCATAAAGGGTTAAAATTTATTTAATATATCTTAACAAATTACATAAACACCACAATGTATCATAATTTACAAGATGTTCATGTACTACATCACACAAAAACTATTTTTTGAAATTATTTTATATGATTTACTGTATTTCTGCTTTGTAAAAGTAAAAAGGATTCAATGACTGAGAAAATTCAAAACACTACAGAAGTTTTATTAAAATTATAAAATTTACAGACTAAAACAAAATACTGAATTTAAAACCATAAAACATTACTCGATTATTAAATCTAATTATTCTAATGTTTTAATCTTATCAAGGATTTGCATCTTACAAAGGTATTCAATTACAAACTAAAATAATGTCATTGATTTCTAAATGCAATTCACACATATTTGGTTGAATAAAATAAAAATTAACTTTCAATAATTGTAGTTTATATACAAAAATGTTATTTTGGATTTGATTCAGTAATTTACACTAAACATGTTACTTTACATTCATTTTAGTAATTTACACTACGGTAACAGTTCTATTACATCTGTACCTAACACACCTAACAGAAGGGCTGCCCATAAATTGTGTTTTATTACATATAGGCTAGACTCTAAATTATATTCTAGTTACTGAATCTGGCATTTGAAGTAATATCTAATCCAATGCTTAATCCGCTTGGAAAGAGGAGGTGAAAAGAAAACTTCTTTGCCAGACAGAAAAGCAAAAGCTTCGGCAACCAAATGGGGATGAGACTTCACCATAAAATTCCATCCTTCCGTGTTTATGATGTCTTTTGCATGCTCACACACAAACTTAATTGCTTGTGATTTCAAATTTACCACCGAGTGAAGATCGGCCAGTATTAGAATATCAAGAACATTATCAAACGATATGCTCTTGTACAAGGTTTCCTGACACATGATTTTAAGCCTCTCCAAGTCATATTTGTCCGCTGCTGCGAGGAGGTCGAATGCTATTTTGTTGATGTCTTTTACTCTTCCTGAGTAAATGAAACGCAACAGTTCACCTAAAGTTGCATGATCAACATCTAAGATAGTAACATGATTCAACTGACCTTCTTCCATGCAATGGTCGAACATTGCTGCGAATACACGGCTCCTAGCAGCAAGGATTGCTTTGTGAGCTTTGAATTGCTTACCATTAGCAGATAGGGTGACATCTGAAAACCTGTGATCTGACAAAAGCTGCTCATAGTCGTCTTCCAACTTAGGTTCAGGGACTTTGAATTTGATTTCCTTGTGTTTTCCAAAAACACTGACAGGAGCAGTGACAATACTTACTTCACAAAATATTGTGAGCTTGTCATCATTGAGAACTTGATTTTCTTTATCAAAAAATGTATCCCTCTTTCTCTTTATAAACTTTTTGTAACCCCAACCATTTTCGTAAACAAATCTATATGCCCTTTGGCTTTCCGTTTCTTTCACGACTTTTCCAAAGCCGTTTACAATTGAAAACTTGAAACGGGCCATCACTTCCAGTTTCTTAGATGTAGCCAGAATAAGAAAAATTGAGATGTAGTTTTTGCTTTCTTTGTCTTCTCCTCTTGGATTAATTCTTAAACACCATTTCTCTGTATCGTTACATTTGGAACTGAACAATGGAGATTTAATATGCTCTCCCGTTTTCTGATTGCAGTAACTGAAGTTGAAAATAGTCCACAAGAAGTTGAACTTATCCAAGCTCACATCAGTCCAGCACCAGTTTTCAACTGGTATATCGTTAACTTCCTCAGGTATTATATCACTGGATACGGGTTGGTCTCCGAGATCATCCATTGCTGTATCCCAAAGAGTGAATGGATAGTTAGTGAGGATCTGCAAAAAAGTATTACCATTAATGTTATAAAAATTAATATTAATATTATATAAAATGCTTTGATGAAGGCCTGTACATTTATTTTTAGAATGATGACTAGCTGTGTGGGTGTTCTATGGACGGTTGACATTTTACCACAATTTTTTTATTGCATCAGACAGTTTTTATTTTGCATTTATTGCAACATCCCACAGTTTGGTGTAGCACCCCATGAAATTATACGCAAAACTTTTCAACTATGGTTATCCGTTTCCACTAGACTTTGGTGAGAGAAGTAGGGATAAGTTCCAACCCCGACACAACCGCAAAAATCAGATGGGTTTTGATCAGGTTTCCCTTTCAAACGTTTGTGATGTATTACGTACGTCAAATAGGATTGGGTGTAGGAGAGATGAGTAAGAGACTCCCAAAAAAACACTGAAACTCACTTGACGCTAGGTATAAAATTTATCCAACAGCAACTAATTGTTGAGATGACTGTACAAAATAACAAAAGCGACAATGAAGGGAAGGGGGTCTAGTGGGCATATATGCATCCCACTTGCCACTCTAATTGACACTAATTTCCTTCTTTGAAAATGCCACTTGCGTGGACAATAAAATGCTATTGACTTAAAAATACAATATCTTTTTTTTAAGCTCAATATCTTCAGGCCAGCGGCCAGCGGTTTGCATGTGATGCACTATGAGCCCTGAGAGATAATTGTGTCCTTCTCAATCTAATTTGAGGGGGAATTTTTGACTTCCTTGTGCAACCAACACACCTAAAACCTCATACGACCCTTGACCAGAGCCCACCCTGTCCATTCATTAAATTGGCCCTGAATATCGTTCCTAACAGTAACACAAGCTTACTTTTGAATCTTACATCTTATATAATGTGACTTAATTCTTCATTTCATTTATTTCCAACGGTAAACACCATTTTTACAATAATAAATATATATATGGTACAGACAAGTCAGTCTTATGAGTAAAGAATAATAAACAAGTAGATTGAAACTTGAATTTGAAAACAAAATGGATACAAGAAACAAGAAATCACAATGTATAACAAGAATAGAGATTTAGAATAGAATTGAGTCAGTGTATAACAGAGATGATAAAAATGTGAAATAACAACCAACAATAAATATGAAAAAATACAATAATAATTAATAACAGTGAATATAAAAATGAAACAGCAATTAACAGCATAAACAGATAATAAACAGCAAGATATGTAGAATAACAATACCAATAACAGGTCATTTCTTTAACTTTTTGGTTTTTTTTTTTTGTGGCCCATTAGTGGCACTACCAAGGTAAATAAAGCCTTCACATAACGTCACTCAGCACAGCGCCGACCCGACTTCTGAAGGAGGCAGTTGTACCAGAGAAGAAGTCGATGAGCGGACGATTTGGCTCCCCAGTCAATGCAATCTGGACAGGCCGCTGTGGTAGGCAAAAAGTGTCGGCTGGGAGCAACGCTGGAAGGAGGTTCTGGAGCGTGTCGCTCTAGGTACAGCAAGATCAATATTCGTTAATAGATCAGGGCAGTCGATAGTTATTTAGATTGAATAGGAAGACTGCATCAACGATCACACGTATAGTGGCTGGATCTGTAGCTTCTAATTATGTATCTGTAATTCTTACTTTGTTGATTTGACAAATTGCATATCCAAGAGAAATCCACCTATTTATTGGATTTAATGTGATGTACAAAACAATTAAATATAAACCTATCATGGAATGTAACAGCCAATTGGACACTCCATAAGTGTACCCAATAGATAAATATTTGTATTACCTATTTGTTTTGTGTTGCCTTGAAGTTCCTGATGTTTTTGATTCCTGATGCGCAAACTGTTCTTGAAACTGGGTTATATTACAAATTAAATATTTGTAGAAAATAAATAAAAGGCAAAGCCCTCACTGACTGACTGACTCACTCACTCATCACTAATTCTCCCACTTCCCATTTACCTAGGTGGCTGAAATTCGGTACACCGATTCTTTGGGCATTAAATAGGAAAACTAAGTAGTTTTTATTCTGATCGGGCTTTCGGGCTCCGCCCCAGTGGCTCTGGAGTTCCCCATGTTAACCTTATGATTTTTCATATTTAAAAGGAATTTCTTAACAGCTGTTTCAATTAACTTCAACGAACTTCAACCAGGACGTGATTGAGCCATGCAAACGAGCTCACTTGTGAAGTTAAACGGGGCAAAGCCCGCGGGTACAGCTAGTTAAATATAAACCTATCATGGAATGTAACAGCCAATTGGACACTCCATAAGTGTACCCAATAGATAAATATTTGTATTACCTATTTGTTTTGTGTTGCCTTGAAGTTCCTGATGTTTTTGATTCCTGATGCGCAAACTGTTCTTGAAACTGGGTTATATTACAAATTAAATATTTGTAGAAATATGGAGGTATTCTAACATAGGACATTACTTTTTATAGGACTTTCAAAGACCTTGCCACCCAAACATTCCTCTGAGCATCCACGATAGTTTGCCTCAAACCATTAAAAACTGGAAGTTAAATAATCTAGCACTGCCTTGAAGACATGGCTGAAAAGCAAACAATTTGTACAGGAAGTACACAAAAGAAGCACCGGTAAACAACTTTGTTTAAAAATTACTGTGAAGTGTTACCGACTTATAAAGAGTAACATACACCATTAGAAAGATAAAAACCTCAAGTTTTTTTTCTATATACTACAATAAGTGATCAATATGTCCACCTTGTGAGCTTAGCAGACATCTATTTTAAAATCAAATTCTGACCAAACGTTTTGAAGACAGCACCTATGCCCTCAAGGTAGGTGGAGAGGGGCGCAATCATCTCCGAGGGCCATAGCGCATTACATGCAACATGTTGGTGGGGCCTCATCAACATTTTGTACTGCAGCAGTAATGTGATGCCTGAGCTCCAAAGAGATTCAACAGCAAAGGAGGTACAACAACTCTGTCTTTGACATAACCCCACAAGCAAAGCATACACACGTTAAAGACAAATCTCCATACCCACCCTCCGGGACCATTGCACAGATTAACTCAACCTGATCATCAGACATTGCTGTTTTCCCGGAGCTCTTTCCTTTTTCTAAGTAACCCATGGCCATAACTTCCAATGTGACTTTCTATTTGGAGGGTCTCTATGATAATGCGTACATGAAAACGATGTTAAACAGTGGTAGCAGATCGAGTTCTTTCAAACTCTAGCATACAAGAAGACTAAATCAATAAATAACAATTTTACCAAATTACTGGCATTGTTAACAGTCAGCTGTGTGGGGAAAAACTTTAGGTGTTTAATAACTCAGTGATACCAACCAAACCGATGTGGGACACATAGCGTGTTAAATTGATGTACAAAGTTGTTTAGTTCTTTTATGTACACCCGGTATTATAACCAGAGTCACCCAAAATTCTCCACCATTATATTGTTGTCCCATTGTTGCTCATGCTCAGAGAATGATAAATTATTGCAATCGTGGCAACATCCACCATCATCTATCATGCACGACAACAATGGTGATGATTTTTACAATCGCAGCGACTCCCGTGAGTAGAGAAACATCTTGATTTTGTTCAGTGATTCTGATCTTTTACTTTACACGGAAAATAAAATATAGGACGATCTGTGATTATTGGCAATTATTCAAAAACAAAATTAGCCAAGACTTTTAATATGTTTTGTGTTTTTACTGAAGCGATTCTTTCATAAATGCATTCAATCCAATAGGTTGGTATTACATCATGTCAGTTATTTATTTCCCAACTGGTGTGTCCCGGCATCAATTTGGACGGAACAGGTATATATAGTCAATGGCGGAACCCAGTTGAATATAAAATAAGATATTCATCAAGGTTTTTGAGGCCCAAAAACTTGGTAATTTTCTCTGCCCGAACAGGCAGGTAGGGTGATACAAATACAGTAGCACCTGACATTTTTGAATCTTCAGTATATTCACAACTAAACAGTTATTTTTTGCTTTAAACTAGGGTACCTACCGGCATATAAAATCACTTGAATATTACGCCTATTATTATTCATGATTCAAGGTGGATTTTAAATAACTTTGGGATTATTTGGAACGAAAATCTCAAACTAATATTGCGATTGTAGACGTTAACTACATAGTTTGCGTGATTGTTGAAGATGAACTGTTCCTAACGATTACCAGTCAAGAGTGCTGTTATTTTGTTGGGTCATTAAAAAATCCAGGATGATGATGGGTTCCATGATAAGATAATTGGGAACTGCTAATTTATTTCAACCATATTTAAGTAACACTACAAACTTAACCTAGAACTTGAAACTGCACAAATGTTATTAGCCTAAACATCCACCGATCCACTCCCAATACCAAAGTTGACCGCTCCATAAGTTAAACACTATATCCTGACAAGCTAAAAACTTCCTTGTCTATATGTAAAGGCTGGGTGGAGAGGGCCGTTTTTATAAATGGGCCCGATGGGCTTGGGGCAAGGGTTCAAGAGGTTTTAAGTTTGTTGAGGGCGCAAGGAGAAAAACATTACCCTCAAGGTAGGTGGAGAGGGGCGCAATCATCTCCGAGGGCCATAGCGCATCACATGCAAACCACTGGGCTATCAACACTGGTGGGGGGGGGGGGGGGGGTGGAATCAACAGCGCAACTGATTTTATTGGCCTAACACTCTAAACAAAAACAAGTAGATTTAAGTACTATACTGCGAGAGATGATGCGTTATTTTCTGTAAATGTGATCATTAAGCCTACAAATTAGAAAGTTTTTATTTTAAGTACCGGTACTGTAAAGTCATGAAAAGACCCTATAGAGTAACTAAGTAAATTGTTTTAATTACAAAACCTGTGTAGTAAATAAATATTTAAATGAAGTAAGTCAACCATTCAAACTGTATAAAATTGTCTACATGTACACGATCTGACCTAATTCAACTGAGGACATGAAACGAAATGTGAACGCTAAGTTACGTCTATAATACCCAAATGAATTTAATAATCAGTAAATTAAGTTAGATGCTGTGGATATTAATAAGTTATTTTTAGTTTAAAATAGACCAAGTAGATCCAGGCAGGCACACATAGTAAATAACTTAGTCAGGCAAAAGGGCAGAAGTGGTTTAAAAAGTGGTCGGGGGTGTGAGGATGAGAAAAAATCCTCCGCAAAGAAAGGGGAAGAGGGCACAATTAAATCCCCGGTCCATACCGTAGCGTGTCACATGAAAACTGCAGCCCTGAGCCTAGACTAATAACTTTCTAGGCCCACTCTAAACTTATTCTGGTAAATACCCACCTGACTGTTCGGACGGTGAACAATTATTGGGCCTACTCGATTTTTGTTCCCGGATCAAAAACTATGCTGCATAAATTACTTATTTAACTTATTTAAAACAACCATCCCATGTAGCACAGATGGTTGGGCCAACGTTGGTAAATTGTGGAGCCACACAGTTGGCCAACGGTAGAAATGTCACCTCTTTAAACTGTTTTCCAGCCAACCATTGTCCAACCGTTTTATTTCACACAAAATAATAAATATTTAGTACGAAAAGCATAATTATTAGTTGAGTAAATTGATTAAATAGTTCATAAAAACAAATCTTGAAAAAAAGCTAGAACAAAATTTTTTGACCCAGACGGGTTTCGAACCCGGGTCCTTCGACTTATGAGCCTCTTACTTTACCACTGAGCTATCTGTAATTGTTGATATAGAGAGTTTTCAAGTGGTGAAAGAGTAGCCGACAGTTGCAATGGTCGCAATACTTCAAACATTTTTGATACTACACAGTATAATATGATTCTGTTAATCTGTTAAGGCATCAAAAGTAGTTTTTTTTTTAGTTAGAGAGAATACTGGTATTTGAATATAGATTAATTAATTACCGTTAGATTATTAATGCTATTATAATAGCCTGTTATATGATTAATTACTCTTTCCCTTTAAATTGTTGCAAATAAGTTAAAGAATATTAATTTAAAAAATATTTGCATTTTTATAATTATTAAAATTCATTATGGAGCCCCAGAACTGTAATATATAAAATATCTGGTTTTACAATACCATTATCAGTTCCAAAAACTTTTGGAAACTTTTGGAACTGATAAAGGTATTGTAAAACCAGATATTTTATTATAATTATGTTGTGAAAGCTAGACCCAGAGAATGAAAGTCGTGTAAACTCAACTATGGACCATCGTTGGTCTAACAAAAGTATCTTTTGTTGGTCCAACGGAGTGAAAAACGGTTGGACAACGGTTGGCTTGATGTATGATACCCAGCAATGCATATTAATGTATTTCATTAACAATGAACCAATGTTGGTCCACAGTTGTAAATATTGGTTGGCCCAACTACGAGATATACAGTTGGACAACGGTTGGTTGGTTGTGGAGGCTCCAACCAACCATCAACCAACTGTCCCACAGTTGGCCAACGTTGGCCCAACCATCTGTGCTACATGGGATGCTAAGTTTTATAGGAAATGTACATTGCAAGTTGGACTAAGTTAGGCAATTTCATCATTTTAATAGCAATTCTAGATAACTTAGCAGATTGCTGAATTTTAACACTTTGTTATCATTCTACCGGTATTCTGATAGATATTAAAGTATGGTACCTAAGTTATTTGGTGCAACATAACTTACATCAAGCAGAAAAAGGTGGTGGGGGAACTTCCCCGCCTAACAAATTTTGTAAATGAAGTACAGTTTTTATAGGCCTACTTAAGTTATAAAGTAGGCTAAATTAAGTTACTAGATTTGCTAGATTTTCATAAGGTGTGGGCTGCAAGTTAGCCTGCATTGAAGTGAATGTAGGCCTATTAAACCCTCATAATCAGTGGTGTAACTTAGTCGTAGACTTTCCTTTGCGGGAACGCTCGTAACAAATTGTCGTAGTAACTTAAAATAGCCTAAGTTAAGTTAAGAGTCGCTTTTTCGCCTGTCAATTAACTTATAGCCTAGGTTCTGTGGAAAAATTATCTGCTTGAGATTGGGACAGAACTTTGATATCCAATTCCATCGTTTGATACAATGGATAGGATGGTAACTTATGCCCATTATAGAAGTTGTTTGGTTTTAAGTCAGGTTAGGTTTGTTTATTGATCGAATCGATACCATAACTTACGCCCGATAAGAACATATCGATACCATATGCTCAAAAATAAGAATGAAGTCGGATATAAAAGTTTTACCGAGAATGGTATGGATGATAAATAAAATAATAGTACTAAAGTATTACACTTAGGCTACATACTTTTTTCCCCTGTCAGATACTTACTAGGCCTAGGACTAAGTAGTTTCTTGGCTTTGTCTTGAATACACACTATTAATAATAAGAGTTAGTTTTCTTCCACCTTGATTGCAATTTTGAGAAGATATAGTATCATAAAACATAAAACAGGGAAATCTAGTAGGAAACAACTGTAAAATACGCTTATTGTAATGTCTGTAATTGGTTTTTGAGGTTGAGGTGGTAAATTTTCAACCGCTTTATGGAACCGGAAGCATGTAAACATGTAAAATACAAAATACCTTACGCTCAACCAAGTTTAGGAAAGCCGAAGGAGAGCAATTAATCGAAACGACTTCGAGTCTGAACCATTGATTATGAAACCTTGCTTGTGCTTGATTTTTTATGGTATGAACCATGAACATGTTTAGTGATATTTTATTTTATTTAATGTAATTTGACAATGCCTATTCCTATGTACAACTTGGTCAATGGCAATAAACTTTCTTATTCTTATTCTTATTCTTATTCAAATGAAGAAAATAAATTTACCTGCGAAAGTTAGTATTTTGTGTTCATGATTAGTATTTTTACGTTACAAAATTATTAAAAGTATTATTTGATGTTTGGGGAGTTCTTAATCGAGAAATTAAATTACAAATTATTATTTTGATGTTTTTACTTAATTATTGCAGTTGATAAACGAACTAATAAGAAATAATGTAACTCAGTGATCTAATTTGGTATACGTTTTATTTGAAAAACTTGTTATACAATAATATAGTATGAAAAAAATGTATCAAAAAAATAAGTCGCCGCACGGTCCCCTTTAACTACGGAGTTAAAAGTCAATGGTTAAAGGCAGCCATGGCCACCATCAAGATAACACCACATCTGTTTTTCGGTCGAAGGCAACCACCCACCCACCAAAATATACCTACTCGGTTTAACGCACTGAGCTATAATTCTAACTGGAGGTAGCACTGAATGTCAAAGATGCGTGTCGCCAGCCGCCATGTTTGCGTGAGGTGGGTGTCCATAAGAAGCCATATTATTGCTATAACTATTATTATACTTGGCTTAAAATACCTACTTTGTATGGTCACCATTTCAAAGAAAATTATTAAAGTATTAAAAGTATTCAAGTATGACAAAAATACTCACTGCTATACCAACCTAGTTATAAGAAGCCATGTTATTGCTATGGTAAGAAAACTTACTGCTATACCAACCTAACAAAATCAGCGACTCGCTTTTGACAGACTTCTGCCATGGCAGTGCTACCTCCAGTTATAATTTTAGCTCAGTGGTTTAACGGGTTGGAAACTTCGATGGTTGGAGTGTACACCACCCTGACAACGTGCCTCCACAGATTCATCCGAACCATAAAGTTGGAAATACTACGTATATTCACTATTGTTTTGTATCACTTTGAAGTTTTTGTTGAATGCCTTACCATCAGCAATTTTTATAACGTTTTATCACAAACACACGTTCGACTGTCACTGGAGAGAGAAGAGAGAATATCCATGTTATGAGATAAAAAGATTATACATAGCTCAGTTGGTTATGAATTACAGTTTTATCATGCTACCTGTGGTGTGGCGGTGTGGCTATACATAAATGATCAAAAGACATAATATTGATATTTATAATTTGAAATTGAAGAAATAATAAAGCATTTCATGAAGAATAGTTTTAAATTATTTCTTAGTATGGGTTCTGTCTAGAAATTGTTTGAGAATGTTGTTAAGTTAGCAAGTTTGACAATTGGTTTGACCTTTGAAATGTTTTATTAATTTACATATTGACGCAGCCTATACAGCATTGTATGATTTTTGTACATTGTTGTCTCGTAATAAAGATTGATTGATTTGATTTGATTTGATAGCCTATTTTGAACATGAAATGTTTAAGTATATATTTCAAAGTATATCGCTAAAGGTTTTTTTTAGAAGATCAAGGTAACATTTAACATTCAATAAAATATCAAGACAGCAGCGTATCTAGCAGACCTTTCCAATTTTCCATTCCATTCCAACGTCTCGTCCTCGTCCTCCTCTCGTCTCGTCGTCTGTCACTGTCACCCACTCTCATCACCTAACTTCACGTCACTCGTCTGTCATCTCAAGAGAGAGATCAGGATAACCTAAAATTAAGGTAGGACTAGGCCGACGCAAAAAATTAATTTTATTGTAATTTTAAGTTGTCATTTTATTTTTCGTAGACCTTTGAATTATTAATTCTCTGTATAAGTGGACCATCACTACAAAAATAACAACAGCCTACTACATTAGGGTTATGTAACACAGCTAACCTAACCTAGGCCTAACCTACCCTTACAATATTTTTAAGAATGCAATTTATGAATGGCTTGTCAGAAACCACCTGTATAAGATTGATGATTTGTTTGCTTTACAACCAATGACATATTATCTTTGATAACATAACATTTGATTATCTTATTCCAGCCTTGAATGTCTTTTTCAGCCTGTCTAAGCTTATCTGTTTTTGTACCATTATTTATTTGCATGATGTGTAGGTGTAGGGGTATCCTAAGACCTTGTACACTAATTGTTTACTATTATTATTAGTTGACTGAACTTGACTTGTGCCTTTTCCAGCATGTATTTATATAATTTAACTGTGTCTCATGCATTTATATAATGTCTATAGACGAATAAATATAATTTCATTTAATTTCATTTCATTTACTCCAACTGTAAGTTATTTTCTCTTAAAACGAGTTTGACAAAACTTAGATTCCGCCCCATCGTAATTTCAAACAAAAACGCACTTCCTGAAGTGTGAAGCTGTGTAAAAAGTGTATGAAATGAAGTTTTGGACTTGACTGAGGAGTGGAAAGGTAATTTTTTCAATTAAATCAACCTTGACTGAGTTGCTCTACTTTCGATAATCATATCATTAAATAAATGAGCAAATGTAAGAACTTGCAAGTAACTTAGGCCTAGTTTGAACAAACCAATCTAACCTGACCTTACCCAACTACCCAATTAAAATGTTCATTTATCGTTACCTAGTAAAATAAAATCAACAACTTTAACGTTTCAATTTTAAATATAACTAAAGCCATGTTTACACCCGAGTTTTGGAGCAAAATTTTTGGAACTTTTTGTTGGTAACGCTTATCTAAACAAAATTTTAAAACCGATAGTGCAATTTTCTTTAATTTGGTTGGAAACAATTTAACTTAATCACCGTTCCCGAGAACACGAGATCAGTCCCTCTTGAGATATTGTTGTGTGGCAGGGAAGTGTTGTAAACGGCGTAGAAGTACGGAAACATTTGTTTCAAAACTGTTTCCTAATGTTTTAAACACCCTTCGATCTCTACCGACCCCTGGTGGGAAGCAAAATTTCTGATGTACTTTTAAACACTGAAAAACGGTTTCTAACACTACTTTACTACATCAAAATGTTTCTGTTCCAAAAGTAGTGTTTCTTGTTTTATAGGAACTAGTTGTTAACAAGTGTTCCTAACTCCGGCGTAAACATGGTTTAAGAATGGCCAATATGTAAAAATCTATTTAAGTTACATGACAAATTATTAGGAAATGCTATTATCCTATGTTAACTATTGAAGAGTTTTTGTCATAACTTTTATCAAGTTGTTGACAAAATTTGTTGATGATTTAAAATTTTCAGGGAAAATGGTCCTCGAAGAATACAAAGATCTCGTGGCCACTGCAGCTGGTATTACTACTGTAGCGCAATGTTTTTCTCCAATGTAAGTTTGTTTGCTTTTTAAAATTACAAATTACAAAATCTACAATATAATTGAATAAATATTTAGTGTTTCAGTATTTTTTAAGCCTATTCCTCCAAAATATGTGAAAGTAAATACTGTAGTTTTATTGTTATTTTCATAATTTAAATTGACTCCTATTGTAAGTCCTATTGTTTTAATTCGAAGAACCTTACCTTTTACCTTACTTTTTTAAATTATTAAGAATCTTAGTTACCTTTGGTTAACTAATTATTTAGGCCTATGATTGTTTTTATTGTCTCAAATATATGGGATTTTAAATGTACGGTATTTATATTCATTAGAATCTGCATTAGGAAAGAAGAAAGTGCATAGACTGGGACGGGTGGCGTCGTCCTGTAATCCAGCTACTAGGAGGTCACAAATTGTGGATAATTATAGGGGATGCACTGTGGATGCGATGCTACCTGGTGTGGATTAACGTCCGCACTAGTGAGTACTACGACTATCCGCAGTACTATCCTAAATAATTAGACCAATTCGTTAATTACGAGGAAAAAATGTGGTTCGGATTCCACAATAAACTGTAGGTCCCTTAGTTGCCGTTAGCTGTATGGGCTATTAATTAACAGCTGTGTCTAAGGAACATGTCGGCCTTAGTCACTAACAAGACTACAAGATCGCGCCACTCATCCTTCACTCATATTTGGGTTAAAATACGCACATAGTGGCATCCCCATCTTAAATAATTGATAATTGATTGATAATTGATTGTTATTTAAACCTAAATAAGAGGGGGTTTCTATTGTAAGTTAAAATAATCTGTTGTTAGAACTATATATAATTATTAATTAGAGGTTTAAACATGTAGCCTGTTGTGCTAAAATCAACTAAATCTTGAGGAAAATACCCAAGTGAAATCTTTTGATAGCAAGTTTATGTCAATAACTTATATGTTTAATCTTCAGATTCATGTGCAAGAAAATTGTTCAAAGTGGAACGTCGAAAGGAACCGACCCAATGCCTTTCATTGGGGGTATGGCGTTGTGAGTATTTTCTATCTTACATTTAATTCTTTTACACCACACTACACTGTTTTAACAGACTTCATCAAGAGACTTCTCAAGGATTTAGTCCAGATCCTTAATCAAATGGGGTTTCATTACCTACTACTGTACTGTAATGAGGAGTGATCACAAATCAGCTGATTATATTTGACAATGAGTGATAAAAAAGTAAAACATAACCTCTCTTGGAGGTTATAAGTAGTGGATTTTAGTCGGTAAGAATATATAAGGATTTGTACAGATTTTTATCGTTATGTTAGCTTAGAGTAGTATGGTGTTAAATATTGTACGCCACTCGTCCAAAATGTGTTTACCGGACTCGTATGGTACAATAATTGGATGGATGGTTGGTAAATTCATACCACATAGAGACACATACGATTTCATACATATGTATACAGATACATACATAAAAGTGACCAATCTGAATTCATTGTTTGGTTTTGCAGGGCAGTGTTATTTCTGAAGTACGGCCTGATCTTAAACGATCCTGCTATGATTCCAGTCAACATATTTGCATTTGCTCTCAACTTCGGCTACACAATCTGCTACTACGTATACTCAACTGAAACGGTGAGTTGTAGGCCTTTCATAATTCAAAATTGTATTTATCATTAAAGGTTTAAAAAGTTGTAGGATACAGTAGACTTCTTGTTTGGACCCCTCAGGATGTAGCCTTATCCAAACTTAAAAGGTGTGAAATATTTAATAGCACATACAGGATTATTTCCAGGGGTGGAAATCCTGAACCTTATTCCTACCTAATTTATTTTCTATTTTTTAACTTATTTTTTTGATTCAAGATAATATCTATGATTCAAATAAAAAAAATTATAGTCCTACATATAACTTGTCAATTGCAATTGAATTCATTTTTTTACTATCAGTGATAATGATTAATTTTTTAAATCAAAACATGGCAAATCGAAGCAAACTTTTTCTCTGCTTTCATACTTTATTAAATCTATACTTATTTAATACGCAAGCAGGTTTTTTGTGACAATTACTCCTCCGAAACTACTGAAGCGATTGACATGTTTTTGGTGTCATTGGAAAGAGCGTAACGTGAAGTTGTGCAGGAAACTTTCTTTTTAGGGAAATAATTAGAGAGTGAGGCCCTGGGGCCCTTTAAAGTTTCGTATTTCTCCATAAGATTAACATGGGAAACAACAATTGTTATGAAACTCCAGCTGCTGTCAGAAATTTAAAGTGAGAAGTAAAACGTATCTTAATTGTAAACAGTCAATAAGTTTGCTAATTTAACAGTTAATTTAATTTAACAAACATTTACTGATTTGGTTGAAGTTAAATATTTACCATTTCAATTTGGGTTGACGTAAATATTACAATGGAAAAAAGCGAGAGAGCCTGGATAAATTGATATACTAAAAAAAACTGAGTTAACACTGTGCTGCATTTCTTAGTAACCATATTTAAGAGCTGATTTGCCGATATTGGAAACATATGAAAGTCATAGAACACCACCAAGGAGAAGAAATAGAAATAATGTTTTTTTAGAGTTTATAATCGTTATTATGGACAACCTAATGCGGCTATGAGTAAGGCTATTTGTAGAAAACACAAAATTAACAAGACCAGCTTTTGAAAAATGATAAGATATTTAAAAGAAATTATGATTATATCGATCTGTTATGTACATATTGAATATTTCCATAATCTTTTGAGTCGAATCTTTTAAAGTCATCAGAAATTATTGTTGTTATTCGTTTTAAAATAACGCCTGTAATACTTAGCAATTGCTCGGATTCGATCAACAGGGACACTAGTTTAACATAAATTCTATCCATTCATTAATATTTCCTACCTAAACGTGATTTCTGAGTATTGGATAAGTGTTGTGTAAAGTAGTTAGATAAGGTATCGTGACATCAATGATAAAACTCATGACCTCCCTGAAACTGTCAACTAATTATGAAACATTTGAGCTTTCAGCCTCTATCCAATAGGAAATTGTACTTGTACATATTTTAATGTTTGCTGTTATTTTATGTCTTGTATTTGAACTTCCTGAGACAAATTAATTAATAGCCCCACTGCAGCATACCTACACACTAAATAAACTTCCATTTGCCTGACAGATTTCCAGAGAAATATTCCCTTAAACATTTTATATTTATTCCCCTTTTAAATAAGGTTTAGTGAGTAATATTTTAATATTTTCTTATGAAATGGCGACCGAGTACTTAGGTTTGCTGCTATCTACACGGAACGTCTTTTAAATATGCCTAGCCTAATGTGTTTTTTATTAAAATGTTAATAGCTTGGTAAAAATAATAAATTTACCAAATTTATATAATTATAATAATAATGAATATATTATATTCATTAACAAGCAAAGTAACCAGTTTATTTATTCTGCTTGAGATTAACATGGAATTTTTAAAATTTATAGTATTTTGGAATTTTCTCCGTAACCTTTAGATGTACAATGACAGGTGCTTCAATATACTAAGTGAGATTTTATTTTGAGCTTTACAAAATGAGTTGGAAAGAATCTGCGACATTTTATATTTTGATGGTAAAAAATGGGATAACCCAATGTTTACTCTATAAACCCTGTTCCCATACCGTACTCCGATTATGCTGATTTGCTTTCGTTCTAATAAACATAGGTTAACACGTTTGCTCCAAATTTAATCAAAATCGAATGATTTTGCATTTTGAACAGGTGGTGTTTAAGCCTCTGGGGATGTCTAAACGAAATAAAAAGGTCCTAGGTCTAGGTCTTACCATGAGACCTACGCTAATAGCTTGTTCCCTCTACGGGAAGTTCTCTAAAAGCCTCATCACGACCAGTGGCAGATCCAGAGGGGGAAAGCGGACGACAGCCCCTCCCTCAGGCATATGTATAATTTTTTTTACTGCATATAATGTTAAAATTTTGCCGCCATCGGCGAAGAAGATGATGATGTTCTGTTACTACGGGGATTATTCAGGAGTTTGCAGTGACCGTGGGAGACAATGATGGTGTCTATAACACCGCCGGAAATGAACTAAATTTTGCCGTGAACAATGAAGTCGATGATGACTTTTCTGTGACTGTGGGAGCAGGAGATGTTCAGGATTTTGCCATGAACACGGAAGACGAAGATAATGTTTACAGGACCGCGGGAGTTGTTAATGATTTTGCTGCGATCACGGAAGACGACAATGATGTTGCATTACCACGGGGGTTATTCAGGGCTGTGCCGACAATAACTATGTAGGGGGGCTCCATCTCTAATCTCGCCCCCCCTCAATCTAAAGCTGGATCCGCCACTGATCATGACAGTCCTCATGTTATCAAGGTTTAACTTGTGTGTTGTAGTCTCAGCTGTTCTCAGCACTAGGCAAGGCTACAGCGCTGGTGGCTGTACTACTAGGCTACACACAGTGGGAGGCCCAGGAACATGTAGAGTTCAGGTTCGGCCTCATCGTAACAGTTCTCATGTTGGGTCTCATTGGATCACCCCTTTTGTCATTGGTAAGTTTAAGCCAAATTGATTAATGATTTTTTACTTTGTAAAAAATGCTTGTGTTGCTGGTAAATACAAAGGAGGTCCCTAAAATAAGGTCTCCATTAACGTACCGTCGCAGCCGAGAGAGCTAGTTAAAATCTGAGACTAACCCTGTATTCTTTACGATTTGCTTCAACTCTAACCAGTTCTCACTCCGGTGCAACAATTAGATTTGTCAAAGTAGCACAAAACATGTTTAGAAGTTTCTTACAGTGACTGAATTTTTCAGATAGTCTTAAACATTTTCGTAGCAAGCGTTCATCAGTTTTCATCAAGACAGTGGTTAATGTTGTGGAAACGTCACTCACTGATCTGTGTGATTAAGACCAGAGTATACAGTAGTCCTTGATGGCCTTGCAGAGGTGTCCCTTATCAGTCGGAAGTCTCTCACTCAGTCACATCACAATCCGGATGTAAAGTTCCTTCTAACTCTGGCCTCTGCCTCAAACAAGACTGAAGAAACAATCAGAGCTCTATACACCATGAAAAGCATAGTATAAATGTTTATGACAATCTTCAAGCACTCTTCACCAGTTACATAGGTACATCACATTCTAAGCCTAAACACTTTATTCCATTCAGGTCCTTCAGAGCCTCTATCCTTCCTAAATTCACAGGAATCTAATCCGGGAACCTGATTCATACTTGGCGGGAGCGATGATTTTCTTCTCATGGCTTCTGGCCACTATAGAGAGAATAATAGTCAAATGGAGGTGGAAAATGTCTAAAATTGTAGCTAATAATGAAATTAAAGAACGAGGTGTCGGTCTCAGAGTTTGACCGAGATAGGAGCTGGTGGAAACCTTATTTTACATACAACCCTCATACATTTTAAATTTAAAAAGTATGGCTCAAAATCCTAAATGCTGAAACAAAAAAAAATTTACTCCCGCAGGCCTTATCTCAACAGTAACAAATTAATTTTAAGATAATTTTTGCATAATTATTGTATTATTTTATAGTTTGATAATTATATTTTAAATCCAATAAGTAGATTTATCTCCATTCAAAGTATCAAATAACTGTTACAGAAAGAGATAATCAGGACCAAAAGCACGGAAAGTTTACCATTCCCACTGATAGCTTCTGGTACTGTCGTCACACTCCTGTGGCTTCTATACGGCATCATCATAGACAATGTGTTTATGAAGGTAAGTTTGATCAATTTTAAATCCATTGTTGATTGCAAAATAAACTACATAGGTTTTATTCTTATATTTTGTTGGAATCATTATGGCCCAATGACAAATGGCATCTAGGTCTGCAAACCATCTTGCTTGGAACCAAACCAGCGACCTTCAGATTTGAAGGCGAGCACTATAACCACTCGGCTACCCAGACAATTATTTATTGATAGAATCGCTACTTGGATTTGTTCTTACATTATTGATCAACTAAAGGATACCAGATTACGCAGTCAGACATCTAAACCTCTCATTAAAAATTGAGGCAATCCTCAAGGTAGCTGCTTGGGGCCGTACTTTTTTCATTTCTAAGTTCTCTTATTTTCTTTCTGTTGTACCAAGGAGGTATTCACCGTGGCTCCCATTAGTACTATATAAAATTAACTTAAAACATAAAGAGAGGAATGTTTAGTTATATGTACATATGTAACATTAGATTAATTGACAATAGTTGTTCTGTTCTAAAAGACCTTTTATTGTATTTTTTATACATGAATAACATCAATAGACTTCAGTACAATTAGTTATAGTAATGGGTTGGTTGCTGATTTTATCGGTTCAGTTTCGGTTAGGTTTTTACAAATCGGTTGTCGTTTTTTCCTTTTCCACTTTTCTCTTATCTTGGACATAACACAATATCAAAATTGTTTTGAAACAAGTTTTGGCGAAGAAATAAACAGCGAGTATAAGCAAAAACTAAAGCTCTTGACAAGAAGTGCAACTCGAAAAGAATCCAACCATCTCGCTAACTTCCGCCTGAATCATCCACCGATTTTTGTTTTGCACCTCTCACTCACCAAGCCTTACCACAGACAGGTGAAATCCTGTTGTACACCAGACCAGACCCGAGATGGGATTCAATCAACACTGGTCAACGAAAAGCCAAAGCAGAGAAACGTAGAGTTGTAGTGTTCTGAAATATCGGCCTTTGGTGCTTAAATAGTTATGTTGCTTACGAATCAATGTTTGCAGGTCCAAAACGTCATAGCCCTAATCCTCTCAGTGGTCCAGCTATCTCTATTTGTAATCTATCCGAGTTCGCCTCCCAAGAAACAAGAGAAGAAGAAAAACTAGATGTTGCAGAGAAGTATTGCCGCGACTTGCCTTAGATAATGATTTTAACATCCAAAATGGTTTAGAACCGTTCAGGAATTGAGTACAAGAATTTTAGCGGTACCGTAGAGTTTATTACTACATTTTATATAGTTACTAGGTTTGATATCTAGTATTAAATATTCTAACTACATATATGTATTTTTAGAAAATACAAAATAGTTTGTTAAGATTTGTTGCAATGCCTAGTTACAGGGGTTTGCTAGGTAAGACAAGAGATTTTTCTTTGAATATGTAGACTAGTTATTGTCTATCATATAAGGAAAACTGGAATTCCATAATATGTTTACTGTGAATTAGTTTAGCTTGTCAAAGTATATCTTTTAGCGCTTGTAGTTACCATAAAGCTATGGTATTTTAGAAATACCTTCTCAAGAAATTGATGAGTTCTTTTTAAGGTTTTATTTAGAGGAATTAAAGACATTATGCTTATAATTATTGGTATTTTCTAAGTCTTACCTACATTATTGATATTATTTTATACAAAAAAAACTCGTGTTCCTTTATCTGTGATCAAAATTGATTTCAAGGACAAATTTTCATCGTTTCATCGGTTGTGATTGGCATTAGTTATGATTTGTAAATAAACCTGTTTGGGTCGATTGAGGTGGACTGTTTTGTCTTTGAAGGAGTGTTTGTGAGGTTTTGTTGGTATTTGAAATGTATGTATGGATTTAAAGCTTTCAGATTTATGTGGTAGTTGTTTTGGAATTTTGCAAAACAGATTCTTTGTGAGAACTTACGGTCAAAGAGTCTTGCCAAGTTTCAGTTTACAAAAATCATGTGATATATTGCGTTATATTTTTTTACTACACTTATGTTTTCAAATAAGATACACATACTAATAAGTATATAAGTATGATTTTTAACTATAAACTGCTCAAGGTCTTGAGATGTTTTAAACTCTAGAATCCAAGCCAGGGGTACCAACTGGATAATTTATAATTAAATTGACTGTTATCTTACAAACTGAACAAAAATGAGTTCAAATTTTATCTTGACGCATGAGTTAACTTTTTAAAAGTATTCTGTATTGGTTAACGTTAACATATCTATACTTATTTAATACGCAAGCATGTTTTTTGTGACAATTACTCCTCCGAAACTACTGAACCGATTGACATATTTTTGGTGTCATTGGAAAGAGCGTAACGTGAAGTTGTGCAGGAAACTTTCTTTTTATGGAAATAATCAGAGAGTGAGGCCCTGGGGCCCTTTAAAGTTTCGTAATTCTTTATAAGATTAACATGGGAAACAAAAATTGTTATGCAACTCTAGCTGTTGTCAAAAATTAAAAGTGAGAAGAAAAACATATGTTAATTTTAAACAGTCAATAAGTTGGCTAATTTTACAGTTTGCTACTAACATTTACTGACTTGGTTGAAATGAAATATTTACTACTGTATTTGAATTCGGGTTGGCGTAAATATTACAATAGAAAAAGCGAGAGAGCCTGGATAAATTGATATATTCTGTTATTTACATCTTGAATATTTCCATAATCTTTGGATCGAATCCTTTAAAGTATTCAGAAATTATGAACGTCATTCCTTTTCAAATAACGCCTCTAATACTTAGAAATTGCTCGAATTCGAGCAACAGGGACACTAGTTCCATAATAAACATTGATTAACATTATTTACGTTTAAATCAGTATGTTTATGTAGCATGAACAATGTATGCAAATGTTTTTCTAGTTCCTTTGTTGTAATATGAAGAGAAGGTGACAATTCCAAGAACACATTCCCTTTATATACAGTAGTCCCTCTATTAACCGACCCCTTTTTAGCCGGTGATTAGACTATTTGCTCTTGCTTTGAAAAGTTTAAGGTCATTGTGGATTGAACACTTATTGGTTTTGAAATTTTCTTGGATTCGTAGCAGTCTTTCTAGCTCAACCAAACATTCTACTTTGCAGGTCTACAGTTTTTTTTACTAGACTAAAATTCTGATTGTATAACCAGTTTGTGGTATATGTTCAGTGAATGATTATGTTTGGTGGGTGTTATTGTTATTGATACACTTTCAGGTTTTGGGGTTAAGTCATTGTTATTGACCATAAAGTGATGGTCTTCTTGGACCATAAAGCAACATGCAAGTTTTATTCAAATTTGTTGAAACCAATGACCCTTTCTGTAATTTAACAAAACATTTTAATCAACTTTATACGTTATCAGACCTATGCTTGCCTAAGATGGTTATTAGAGGGCCTATTGTATTTAGTTTTTAGTTTATTATAATAGCTTTGCATTTGCAATGGTATTAATGTGCCACATTTAGTGTAAGTTTTGTCTTTTTTGGTTAAACCAAATTTATATTTCTGTGGTCAATTGTGATCTTGTTGAATTAAAACAAAATTAAGTTGTTAATTAGATAATGTTTTTTTTCTTTGTCTACCATACACCAACAATTACAACTAAGGATGGACTTATTGTAATGAACAGTTTTGTTGCACAGTTCGAAATATTAGTTTTTGCCTGTGATATGACAGGATTTCAGAACCTCGTATACATCTTATCTTACTAATATTATAAATCTGAAAGTTTGTGAGTTTGTGTGTATGTTTGTGTGTATGTTTGTGTGTGTGTTTGTGTGTGTGTTGCTCAATCACGCATAAACTACTGGACGGATTGGGCTGAAATTTGGCATGATGATAGCTCACATTCCCGATTAACATTAAAGCATATTCTTATCTCAAAAACCCTTTCGGGCTCCGCCCCAGTGGCTCTGTAGTTCCCCATGTTAATCTTATGATTTTTCATATTTAAAATGAATTAATGAATCTTAACAGCTGTTTCAATTAAACAAGTTGGTTCTGTTCTATGATATTCAATAGCATAAAAGTTAAAAGGATTACCAACAGGGTGCAGCACTATTAATTTTTTTTTAATATATGACAACAGCTAATTTCCAACCAAAAGGTGAGTGAGCGTAGCGAACGAACTTCAACCTGGAGGCGAGTTAGCGTAGCGAACGAGCTAACCTGAAGGCAAGTGAGCGCAGCGAACGAGCTCCAACCTAAAGGTGAGTGAGCGTAGCGAACGAACTTCAACCAGGACGTGAATGAGCCATGCGAATACTTATGAAGTTAAACGGGGCGAAGCCCGCGGGTACAGCTAGTCTATATATAAAGCCAAAAGTACCCATGAACTTTTGAGAAAACTACAAGTCACACCCCCATAAACCATATACTTAAAATGTTCGTCATGACGAGAAACCTTGCGCAAAATTATCCATTTTTTTCATAAATTGCCCTTTAAGGTTATAATTGCTTTCCAAAGGGAACTTTCCATATACTTAATGTTAAAAATACCTCAGCTGTTCTTATTTGTATGTTATTCTTTCAAGTTATTACCTCATTAAAATCTGTTGTGATTATTTGTTTGTAATGCTGTATTATGTTATAACCAATCAATAGTTTTTTATAATACTTATGCAGTCAAACGGGTTGAAGCCCGTGGGTAACAGCTAGTATTTAATAACACCTGATTGTGCTTTTAGCACCACTTTCATTTTCTCTAAATTAGATCTTGGTAAAAAATATTTTCTTAATCAGCTATAATCAAAAATAGCTACTCTGTACGGAGTGATGAAAACTAATTTTCAAAATTGACTTTTGGCTCAAGGAAATTAAAACACCTGTGATTTTTCTTTTGTAATCGTGATTTACTATCAACTCTCCAGAGGTTTTCTATACTTGGCCTGGACCCAGACTCTGTACATCTTGAGTTGCCGTAACCTGTTGACTTGCATCCTCCGGTCTGTGTAGATCATCTCCTCTTGGAAACCAGCTTCGGTAAACAACTTCGTCACTTCCTCTGAAAGCAACGTTAAGTTGGTTAAACACTAGAGAATTGAATTTTTTTAAGCTTCAACTAACTAAGAATTATGGATAACCATAAACCAACTCCTTTCTTTGTGATTAGCAAAGTAGTTAGCCTACTGATCAAAAACCTTTTAAATTTTGTTTGCAAATATAGATGTATTCCTCGCCCAATATAACGGTAAGCCTGCTTGTTCTTTTTCTATGACAGTGGCATTTTTACTAGGATTCATTGTGATTACAAACTCTTTTAGGGAAAGCGGTCCAAAACCATATTAAATGTTAAGTAGCTGTGCCTGGAATTGAAAGTGTTCCTCCCTCACTGAAGTCCGAGACGCTAACCACTAGGCTAGCAACACCCCTTCCTTTTAATAACAAGATCAAACCTAAAGAAATATTATTTAAAATGGATAAAGGTGGATGGATACAACAGCAGGCTAACCTTCCTGACCAACATAGATGAGAATCACTCTGTGATTTGCACATTCAACAATGTAATTTTTTAATTAAAAAAAAGGTACAGCTGGTCCATATAGATGGGATGTTTACTTCAAATTTAAAAAGTAAATGGTGCAACTCTTGACCTGACCAAGGCGGAATCCAAACTCTCAACAGTCACTGTCTCCTGGCTAGATATACAACACCACAGGCCTAAGAAGTTTGGTCAAGCAAAGGTTCAAGTACAGCACAGTAGTTACAATTTTGATCTCTTGGTTGTAAAGCTAGGTGATTGAAAATCTATGTGAGATACCAGGGTAGTAACAGGACCAGGGAAAAATTGCCTTATAAAAAAAGTAAAAAAACCGAATGCCAAGATATACTCAAAATCAAAATGCCAATTTCTAAGTAACAAGCCAGTTGTGCTCCTGCAAAGATACCAAAGAATCCATATCAAGAGGAAATATGAATCTTACAAACTATAGGCAAATCCCAACCTTGAGTGAAGAAGTAGACGAACGTTCCGTCACTCCTCACGTAAAAGTTGTCCTCCATCATCTGGCCGGGTTTGAACCTGAGTTGAGCCATGTCGTAACGTCCGTAATCTCTGAACAACACTAGACCTCCTGGCCGCATGTGATCGTAAAGCTGCCGAATTACGTGCGACATCCTACAGCAGACAAGTATCACTGAGTATCAGTAATGAATATAAATAAGGGTAAAAATGTATAGGTTCAACATTAATTTGTTTGAATCAAATATTGATGTTTCTACAATTCTGCTCATTGGAGGAAAGAACACTTGGCTCAGAAATAAACTAAGGAAGAGAGAATGAATACACAATTAACCTACCCAAATACAAGAACCCCCAAAGTAGGTGATTCTAAATAAATTAAAATATTTTTTCCATCCTTGTTTTGGAAATTTTTGTTTTCTCTAACATGTAGTAAAAAGTTATATGTTTTAAATATTCGCCAATAGAGAAGTGCAGGGTGGAATTTAGAAAAGACTTTCTTTCCCCACCTAGGCGAATGAGGGATGTTCCTTCAAGGGTCGTACACCCCCTACAGAAGACAGGCATTTGTTCTAATTTTGCTTGGTTAATAAAAACCCCAAGTAGATGTTTATCCTTAGGCCCATAAAAAGTTAATTAGGAAACAGGAACTTTGAGAAAAATGTTTAAGCCATACACCCATCAACCGCATACTAGAATGAAACGTCTTGTAGAGAAATTTTCCAAAAAAAATATATATAGGCTATTATTTGTTCGATAAACCCTCTCCTAAAGCTGGGTATTCCTAGGTGTGAAGTGCAGAGTTCGCTCCTCTCTTATCTTTGTAACGGTAGTAAAATTTAGGTATGTATTTTTTTTAATCAACATAATGTGAAGGGGATTTGAATTATAAACTGAGCATATATTTTTTTTAACGAAGTAATAGTAGCCAGATTGCCAATTTTTAACAATCAGTAAGATAATCAGTCCTCAAGTCGGAGGTCAAGGGCCATAGTCAATATCAGTCAGGACGGCTGCATGAGCTCCGTGATGTCTCACTGAGTACTGGTCTGTCCCCTCCACCAAGGAGTGGGCACGGCGCGCATGCGCACCAAGGTACGCATGGCCAACAAAACCACGGGGACCTGGCCTCTCGATCAGTTCCTGGCCACGCATCACGCATTGGAAAGTCACTCTCACTCTGGGTAATTACTCTTAATAGTCTAGGACTTGTAAAAATTAATCAGTTGAAAGTCAAAGTTGAAATCAAATTTAATATTAATATTTCGATCATTTAACTTTTGAATTAATTTCAGTATTTAAATCTTATTTAAAATATTTAAATAAATATTAACAGTAAATTAAAGTTTCTTTTACTTTAAACAATCTTATTCAGGTCCAAGCGAACACGGTACCCTCGGGATTTGTTAAACAGTAACATATAACTCAGTTAACGTCAAAAATAAACCAACTAAACCACAATCATTCAGGTCCGTGCGAGCACGGTTGATTAAATCAGTATTTTAATAAAAGCTAAAATAGTGAATTAAACCTAAATTATACAGGTCCGTGAGAACACGGTGCCGTAGGGAATTGCTAAACAGTAACAGTCAATTTATTTAACGTTTAAAGAAACAACTAAACTAATCTCTATAGGTTCGTGCAAGCACGGATGATTAATTAAGTGTTTTGCTCAAAGTTAGGAACAAACCTTAAATCATACAGGTCCGTGAGAACACGGTACCATAGGGATTACGTAATAAATCAATCCAGTTAGGCCTATAGAATATTAATTATCAGAGGAATAATAACCAATTAAACATTTGTAAAATAGAGGTTCATAGCAGACACGGACTAATTTTAGATAGTTGAAATAGCCTAAAATCAGAGTAGGCCCGTGCTGACTAAATAATACCTTGAGTATTGATTTTTGGGATAAATAAGATTTACTAAATGATTCTGGAAAGGTTAGTGTAGTGGCGGATGATTAATTAAGTATTGTACTCGCAGAATAGAGGCAAACTTAAATCATACAGGTCCGTGCAAACACGGTAACCTTTAATCAGCAGATAATCATTGTAAATCGTCGGTAAAATAATTATTAAACCATCGAATACAGGTTCGTGAGATCACGGAAGGTTAATTAAGTCTAGTTTAATCACATAATTGTTGATAACAGCTTAAACCAAAGATCCGTGTAAAGAATACTGAAGGATAGGTGCAGTATATTTAAATAAATAGATAAATAAAAAGTTGGTAATAATCCTCTGCAGGTCCGTGAGAACACGGTGCCCTAAAATAATTAATTATTCTTGCTAACTGAGAGCCGTTATTAAAAACTAAATCCAGGTCCGTGAGAACACGGTACTGTAGGAATAGTTTAGGCTGTGATTGAACTTATAAAAAATCTGTAATAAACGTCTAAATAAATCTAGATAGCTGAATTACTTTCAGGAGAAGTTTTAAGCCTTATAAATAACTATATTCAGGTCCGTGACAATACGGTACTTTTGGAATAGTGTAGGCTTTGTGTGATTAATCATAAATTAATAATTTAAACGCCTAAATAAGGCTAAATAACTTAATTCAATTCTGGTGAATTTTAAGCCCAATAATAAGCCATATTCAGGTCCGTGACAACACGGTACTATAAATATACCCTAGGCTTTGATACATCGTGTCATTAATCCATTACCAATAATAAGTAAACTTAATTACACCCTTGTGAGTAAACTAAATCCAGGTCCGTGCGAACACGGTACTATAGGACTAGTGTTGGATCTGTCTGATGGATTCATAAAAGTATAAACCACTATAAACTTGATTAATACAATAAAGCATTAATAATTCACTGTGTGAAGTAGGATATATTTGTTAACAAGTTGAAGGCAATAGTTTTAAACACAAGCTTACAATAAATCAACAGTAAACCCAGTGACATTCCAGAGTGAGATATCGTTAAGATAACAAGGTACCCGACCCAGGACTTGACCAAGAGTGTGATTAATGAAACATACGATTATTATCCTTTAATTATTGTCTTAAACTGTTAGAAGACACTAATTAATAAATAGTAGCTGGTAATTAGTAAATAGTAATTGGAACAGAAGAATCAAATATTTTATTTTATATATACTGAAGTTACTCTGGCTACATACAACTGAACATCAATAATTGATTTCACGTTAGAACATTATTTACATACACACCAAGGCATTGTTAGGTCCGTGACAAAACGGTTCCTGCCACTTTAATAAAGATCTTGATAATTGGAGGTCCGTGAGAACACGGTACTTATTGATTATTGCTTATTGCTTGCTTGCTTACATCAATTGCACGTTGTTAAATGTAGTAGTGATTGTTACACTGACACCTACACTTTTGGTACTGCAACAATTATTTACTACCTTGTACTGTCACCGATTATACAATACACAGTACCGTCAATACCAATTGTGACATTGACACTTTGGAAAATCAACGCAAGCTAGAAATATTAACTGCCAATAACAGTAAGTGCCCATAGAGCCACCAAGTATCAATTTTATATTGAAAAATATTAAAAGAATTTATTTTCTGGGAATCTTGAAACACAATTAAAATCATATCAAATTATTCCAGTCTTATTGTAAGACCACAACTTTACCTTAACTGGCTCTCTTCTCTGTTGATATTCTTATCTATACTATCATACTTAATTATAGCTAGGACTAACTCTTTGTTAACACCTATCCTAGTTAACTACCAATTAACTATCTAACCATCTATTCTGCTGCTATGTTCGTGCCATACTGACTTATAACATTCAATTAACCGAATATCACATACTAATTCCCTATATACAACTTCTGGTACTATACTTTATCTATGTTCGTGCAAGGCGGACATACATAGTTAGTAGTCTGTCAAGAGCTAGGACTATCTCTATCTCTTTCTAACCACTAAGATAACTTCTACTCAGTTCGTGGCACACGGACGCTAACCCTCTATTCAGTTAACCAAAAGTTGCACTCTTATCTTTCGCTTATCCTCAACACTGATAATTTCTGTCAAACAATAACACTGGAATACAACGTCAACTGGGTTTAAGACTGTGATGATACAATAATTGATCCTTGAATTGATCATTATTGATAGCGAATGATCACTGATCATTCGGATTGTGAATTCCAACTTTGTCTGAGTTTATAGACCCAAACAAAATTTATTGGAAAAATAGCAGTAGTGGCAAAACTAGAGTTTGGTCCAAAATACTTTTTATTTTTAAAACTTTGATTTTGAGCTCTGGAACTAAACCCAGCTCGAGTTTTCATCCAGGCAACCTCTTTAAGACGTTACCCTTTGCTTAAAAATCTCACTTGAGCAAAAATACGTCACATCTTAGGTAATTTAATGGTACTGTTTTCCAAGAAGGGTTACTAAAATGGCTTCTCCGCACTCCTGGTTCTGCTTCCACGCCTGGGAAAACCCAACCTTAAGTGAACGAACCCTAATCAAAAGTTTGTATTTAATCACAATGTGTCAGCTCAATTGAACTACGGTACGAACATGTTCATTTGAAAAACTTTGAAAACCTAGTAAGAATAAGCTTGTTTAAAGAATCATGATGTAAAAAACTAGTAAAATAAGACTGTTGAGTGACCACTTTCAAAAACAAAAGTAGGCCCTACTTAGCCATCATGCCTTAGTTTCTATAAATTAGCTAAGCTATTGATTAGCTTATTTTAGCTTACTTTTGTGGATGAATCGCTGAAAGCACAAATATCAAAGTGCTCGTGTCCAAACTGTTTTTGGGGAAAGGCGCCTTCCAGTCATCTGCAGTTATGTCGCAAACGAAAGCATGACATCTAAAAAATATTGGCAGTTTTTATTGGAACTGTTCAAATACTTAGCTGTAAGCCTTTAATTATGTTAATAAACATTCTATAAACAAGATAGCCTACAATTTTAATTTCAAGCAAAATCCAATCGCTGTAAAACTTTAGGAAACTGTTCTGTACATTAGTAGTGGTTCTGACGCCTCATCTCACAGTTAAAATTAATTTATTAATTAGGAATTATTTGGACAGGTGTGATGCAATTACGAATACCTACGTATTTTACATCACTACATCTGAGATTGTCAGTTAGAAAGCATCTTCTTCCCAAGTCTAAACATTGCCTTTGTACTCCTACATAGAAACATTGCAAATTGCTTTAATGTTTGAAAATATATATACACAAACAATTCAATACAGTAGTCCCTCGAAAATTTGGTACCGGTACTCGATAATCCGGAGTCTATAGTAATCAGGCTTGATATCTTTCCCATAAACATTATAGCCTAAACATATTAGTATGATTGCACTTCTGTTTAGGAAGGATCCTTTCCGTATTGATATTGACCTAGGATTTAGCCCATGGCTTTCAAGGTTACCATATTATTAAGCTTGTAGCAGCCCCAAAGCATAACTACGGGCAACAGTATGACATTGTCGCAAAAAGAAGAGGAGGGCTGCAAAAAGTCCAGCCTGCCTACTTAATTTTTTTTAATAATATTTGTATAAACCGATACGAGCGTTTGAAAACGTATTTATTTTCATGTTATGTTGTTTATTCCGAATCACGTTGACAATACGTATTTATTTCCAAATCTTCATTAAATCTCTTAGATTTGCTTGGCAATTCATTGAGTGGAGAAAATATGTAAAATTCTATTAACACTTAAACTCTAGGCTAGGTCCTTGTCTTTGTAGAAAGCACGAGTAAAGGTAATAGTTAATCTGACATTATTTCAGTATTCTTAATTCTCACCTTTTGGAGTCATATTCTGGATTACTCTTCAAAATGTCAATTGCATTTGTGGAGAAATCACAGCCATAAATAAAAATATTTGGGTCGATATTGTACTCCAAAATTGGGAAAATGGTATTTCCTACTCCACATCCAATTTCAAGAATTAACCTCTGTGATTTTTCAGTTTTATCAGTAACTTCCTCCTTTTTGTTTTGTAAAGTTAGTGACTCAACACCAGTTTCTACAGATTGTTCTTCAACTTTGGATTTATTGTCATTCTCACATTTCACATAGTTTGGAACATGCTCGCTTTCTGAATCTTTAGTCACATTTTCACTTTCCTTTGCCGATGACTCCGGTTGACATTCTACTTCTGAGTCTTTACTTACGCTGGATTCTTCTGACAACTTTCCTGAGTTTGCAGGAAAAACTCTTTCAGGAGTTTCTGGCTTTGGGGTCCCAGCAAGCTCAGGAAATTCTGTGAAAAGCCAATGTCGATCCTTGAAAAATCTGAAAAGTAAGTAAGAATTAGCTCTGATGACAAATTGTGTTTTTCAGCAACTTTAAATTAGCCTACTAGACAGCATATTACCATTTTAATGTTCGTTTTCGTGTTTTTATGTACTTTGTGTGTAATGACGAGCTTCATATGAAGTGACCACCCTGTTGACATCCTTGACGTCTGAAGATGTCTTTGTAGAAAGTCTAAACTAGTTGCGACATTAGCAACAATTAGGATTACTACAAAGCAGGTATTTACAACAATTTCTACTATTTTTTTGTTTTGTTATCTCTTTAAGTTGCTGCTCTTCCTACTGTTCATTAAGACGAGAGCATAAAAGATAAAACCTTTAAAAAAGTATTGATCTTGTACGCTGGCCCCATACAAATCAGGTAAACAATACAGTAGGCTACGGTAGGTACCTCATAAATAATAAGATAAAGAGTTAGCCCCAAATTGTTTAGGATAATCGCTACATTCAAGGTGTTTATCAGCCTACCTTCAAATAATAATTCCCATTTCATTGCAATTCAATGTTTTTAAATTAAATATCTTACTTTAAAAGGGCATCATCCAATAATCCTGTGAAGGGAGGGACCAATAATAATGAAATTAACTTATAAACAGCCATCATGCATACCTGTTTTGATGATAACCATAAAATTTATCCCAGCGGTTTCCTGTATCCCTCTGCAAGTGTTCTTTGGCCTCATCAGGGATTCTCTTCTCTGACTGCTTTTTAATTTTTTCTTGAGCAGCCTCCAAGAGTTCTGGTTCCCATTCAACGTTGTCCCTGAAACGATGAAGGTGATGAAAAATACAAAAAATATTGAGTGTCATGTTAACTAAATTTTTACAAGACTAAATCAATTTTTTTTCCATCTAAGGCCAGGGACACACTTACCGGCGAAACCGCCGGACGCCGGATCCGGCGGCGCCGGAGCAAGTTGAGATACACAGGAAGGCATGGGGCAGGCCACACTTCTCCGGTTCGGCAAATCTGCCGATCCGGCGTAACCGCCGGATATTCTCTATTCCGCCGGATCGGCGGTTTCGCCGGAGCAGTGGGTAGCGGGGCATTGTGCCTTATGGATATGAACACACTTACCGGCGAAACAGCCGGACTGCCATTGCCCCCACTCCTCAGTCGTGGTTCAACCCTCGAGAGTGGTGGTTGTTTATGATTTTAAATCAGTTTCCAAGTGGTGTATTTAGTTTTGTTTTGCTATTTAGTTAATTTAGTTTTTATTTTTAGTCTGTTTAGTTTTCTATATCATCATAGTAGATGTTGATATGGATTTACTTATTAGTTTGGTTTATGAGGAACCAGAACTTTGTGATAGGTCTTTGGAAATTTACAAAGACAATAACAAATCGAGAAACAGCAGCAGCTGGCGAGAAATTTGTGCCGCACTGAATCCAGCCTTTCCAGCGTCTCGTGTATGTGTTTTGTCCTTGTATTTGCACTGAAATCTTCGATATTACTTTCGAATGAGGGGACAGACATTAGAAAATAATTAAAAAAAAACCTATTTTCTTCAATTTCAACTGTAAAAATAGAGTGTAAAAAGCTCCATGTATCTGTTTGTTCTCCAGAATAGGATGTACCCAAACAGTTCGGTGGTGTTTTCTCTTCCTTCTGTGGTGGATCAAACACAGCAAGGCCAACGTTTGAGGTCTTGACAGCACCATTTCTAAGACTAAACTGTACTAGAACTGTGTAAGAACTATATATCTTATATGTGTATAGAACTAGTGTAAGACAAAACTCATTCAGAGTTCATTGCACTCTATTTACTGTCGCCGGCTCCGGCAAAAATAGTTTTCGCCGGAACAAGTGTGTTCTGAGTTCTGACCCTCAACCTCCAGCGTTGGCCGGTAAGTGTGTCCCTGGCCTAAGTTACTGATCACAGAAAACAAAATTTAAAATTAATTTCTTCTTAACACACATTAGGCTAATACGATAGATGAAAAGTCCTGTAGGCCTAACAGTATACAAGCTAATGAAAACTGACTAGAACCATCAGCTTCGGTAGTAGGTACCTAAACTGGGAAAAATATTAATCTGGTAGGCTACACAGCCTTTCTGTCTCAAACTAATGTGCAGGTAAAACATGGCTGTACCAGAGAACACTGCAAAAGGTGGAAGGACTTTCCTTGTGAGAGTAAATCAGCCTGTTTCCTGACTGATCTGATAGATCTGATCCTGAAGGTTTTCTCTGGGGCTTTGTTTTGGGAGGTCAAGATGAGACAAACAATTGGACTGATTACCAAATAGGCCTAACGGATTAGGTTCAGAGGATAAAAGCATAGAACAGGATGTAACATTTTAAGATGTGCGCTAGGCCTATCTGAAGGAAACATGGTTTGTCAGAGGAGTGTGCATAAATCCTAACTTAATGTGGATGACATGTTTTCTCACCATGAAACGTCCTTTCCAGATAGGGCTACAAAAAATGTCTGTGTATGTACTAACGTATAGTTTGGCTATACGTAAGTCAAACTATAGTGGAGATTATTCGCTTTAACTTGGTAGGGTAGACTTAATGCAGACTAATGGCAGGGATTATAGGGTTGGCAGCACGATTACTAGAAAAATACCGGTATGGATCATAAACATAAACAAATTACGTTTTTAGCCCGAAAATAAACATTAACTTATTTAACATTGCTTTAATGGAACTGCCAAAACATATGTTTAATCTATTAGTAGGCTATAGGATTCGGGCCAACAACGTCATTTGTTTATGTTTATGATCCATACCGGGGTATTTTTCTAGTATTCGTGGTTGGCAAGAAGTTTGTTATACCTATTGGGAGTCAGTGAGTTTCTTAAATGAAGTTAACTTATTTTTCATTTTTCTTCATAAGTTTTAACTTAAGTTAGGCATCTCCAAATGGCTCAATTCAACTTTTCTACTGAACTTACTTTGTTCAGCCGACATGCAGAAAAGTACAATAACTACCACAGAAAAGATTGTGACTAGAGTCACACCAATCAAGCCTATCTTTATCATATTACAGATAAAACCTAGTCCCTTATTACTGACCAATGATGATGACTAAATTTTGGATCCTTAACAGAAACAGAACTGGAACCAGACCAACTATCATTGTTCGGCTTCCTCTCAAGATTTTTTAAAATTATACGCAACTGTAAACCCATTGTTTCAAAACCAAGACTAACTAACTTGGTGAAAAAGTGATGATGCAAGGCAGACAAAATACTTATCATACTAACTTACCAACAATTATGTTTCAAAGCAGATTCTCCATCTTTCAACTGTCTGGCACCAAACTGAGGTCTTTTTATCTCAGTATCTTCACTCATTTTTATAGGATGTGAATTTAAATCCAGAGTGTAAGGTTTAAAACACGTTTAAGGGTAACAACATTAATTCCTAAAATTGAATAGGGGCCCAGAAGAATAAATTGTAAAATGGAGATCATAAACAGTTTCCACTAATAAACTATTGGCTCACAACACACACTAGAAGCCACCTTCTTTAATCAAAGAAATCATACAAAAATAAAATATTAATTAAAACTAATGAATAGCTGTTGTTGTAAACTTTGAATTAAAATGTAATTTGAAAGCTTACGGTATTACATCTAACCTAACCTAAAATCTGAAATTGATTGAGGTTAGAAAGGTTGATGTTGAACAACCATAACAACACAAACAAAACAAACATAGAGTAAAGTAACCATGCTTACGCAAACTATTTTAAGATTCTGACATAAATAATTTATTGTAAGACAATTTATCGTGTTTGAAAAACAATAGTAGGATAATGACAGAAAGACATTACCATTACACTAAAGTTAGTATGTACGTTTAGATATTCTGAACCGAAACTCCCCTGTAGATTTTTTTTAACACCAACATAATTAGGAAACATAATAATAGGGGGGGATTAGTGTTGAAATCTACTATACATATTTCACTGTGTAAAACCACACTTCATTAAGTTACATGGCATTTAGCTTGTTGAACGCTAACTTGAAAAGGGGAAGAAGAAGTTTATTTTGTTTTGTGCCGGTGACGGATTGTCCACAAATTTGTAGGTTAGGTTTGGGTAATAGAAAGCAAACTTAACCCCTTAACGTAAACTGTTGTTGTTCTTAAGTATACACTAGTAATTACTCGAAGAAATTCAAGTAATAAGACATTTATGACATCATGGAAACTGACGCTTCTTTAAATTCCAACTCTCAACTTCAAATCCGTTTCATTACAAAACAAGAACAGTAAGTAGCCTATGTTATCAACATGCTGCCTTCCTATTTCTTCAAGTTAAATAAACCACGAAGGAAAAATTCTAACTAGGCCTAACTCATCTATTAATTTGAGTAGGCCTAGTTTTATTTTTATAGTTCTGGAAAAATAATTGTAATTGTTTGCCAGTATTTGGCCTACGTAACTCAGATCTTAGGGAAGCATAACCTAGCCTCCCTGTTTTGAAATGCATGTAAGTTAGGCCTATTCATTCGAGAGATAACTTAAAACAACAACAATCGTTCAGCTAAATGCTGGTTTTACGATGATCACATGAGGGAAACTTCGACGTCCGGCTCAGTTGTTGCCTATTTATAAAAATATCAAACCAAAACGATGGTATCATATAGGCCTAGGCCTAGTCTGGTCAGGTGCAACTTATCAATTAATATAACTTTACTTAAGCTATAGATAAGTTATTGGATGACCGAATTTCAATACTAAATATATATAATGCTTTTAAGTTATTATCGGTCAGCACAAGGCTATCAAGAGTTGTACACCTACTTAGAAAACTCACCCATATGATAAGTCCACACTATTTGCTGGTGATATACCACGCTCTCTTCCATAGTGTATTGAGCTATGGTCTAATGCTATGGGGGCACGGGCCTGCTTGTGAGGATATCCTCATACTCCAGAAGAGGGCAAGTTCGTGTGATTACTTTTAGTAAGAGACTGGATCACCGTAAGCCGCTCTTCATGAAAACAAAGGTCCTAACAGTCTATAACCAATATATCCTTCTATGTTCCATCCATGTTAAAGACAACCTATTAAATTTCCCTACAAGAAGTACCATACATGCACATCAAACCAGGCGTAACAATGAAATAGACATCCCTTTCTGCAGACTCTCAAAAACAAAAAAAATCATACCCGACCATGACACTCAGGATCTACAATAGTCTACCTACCCCAAACACTGAAGAACCTGGAACCTCCTAAATTTAGCACTGCTCTGAAGACATGGCTAAAAGATAGGCCATATTATAGCCTGAAAGATTTTTTTGAAAGTGTGGGTGCATCCACCGCCATGACATAAAAGTTTTATCTAAAGAGAAAAGTTTATGTTTTCAGTAAATATGTAATTGTCACACAACCTATCCGGCATCGCTGGTCTTGGTGGTGAAGGAGGTAATTAAGGTAATTAATTAATCAAGTTAGAGTGAAGGATTAATGTAGGCTAGTCCGCTAGACCTATTACACATAGTAGGCTAAATAAAACCCAACCTAATCCAAGATCTTTTGCTATTCTAGATATTCTGTTCCTGATGCACCTTTTGCTGTGCAGGCTAATATTTCTACAACCCAGTTGAATACGCTTGTTAATGAACTCATTAAAGGTAAGGGTTTTTTTTGTTATTACTTAATTTCTATATTCTGTATCCTTAATTGTATTTCTGTATATTTCTGCATTTGTATTCTGTATATTCTGTATTTTATCTCTGTATATTGCTGTATATTTTTTGTATGTAGCCATGTTGCATCATGATTCCTATTAAGTATTGGTGTTAAGTTTAGCCTATTTGCTGTTGGAATGAAATAAATAAATAAATAATCTTAATGCTCTGAAAGACAGTAACAGTAGCCAGCATTACACAATATTACAGTACTTCTGCAGATTAATAAAATATTACTTAGGCCCTATTTACTATCGACAAAGACAATTCAAAGTTGTATGGGTACTTTGGTATTATCCAGAGAGAGGCCACCTTTGCGCTGTGGCGGTTATGTTAGGTTGGGTTATCATAAATGGAAAGAACACACTTTAATTGACTTTCTGTCCATATTTGATATGATTACAATTAGCGGCCTTTGAGTTCTGCCTCCGGCAGAAGGCAGCGATGTCGGCGAGGATTGAGTTGAATGCGTCGCCGCCCCTAGCTGCCACACCAGATACAGGCGGTGACAGGTGATGCACGTGCTCCGGTAACCTTACATAACCGCCGCAGCCATGCTGTATAAGGGTGGCCTCCGGAGAATACCAAAGTACCGTTGTATGTTTTAATATGGGTAGACTTTCATAAGTGGAACCAAAAACAACCGAATGAATATATCGATCGATATACAAATAATTGATATGATATTTTCAATCGGTTGTTTTGGCCCCACTTATGAAAGTCTACCCTTTAATATGTAGATTTTGAGCAAGCTCACATCCATATGTAGGCTACACACTCTTGGTTAAGTCTTTCCACACCAATGTCATTTTTAAGGTACACACATTTAAGTTTCTACATGAATTTAATAAAATAATTCTAACTGAAAAAACTTGTAAACAAATCTATAAGAATCCTTTACTCATCCGTAAGCCTAATCTGGCTCAAATTGTCTTTGGTATTTTTCAATTATTTTACTACTAGTTCAACCATAAAACTTCTTTTGTTTAGTAAGTTTCTTATTTGTGTCAATAGAGTTGCCCAATGCGCCAGAGACAGCCGTTGAGTTTGACTTTATAGTAGCCGGCGAGCTTCTGCGGTCCCGACTCAGCGAGCATGTCACTGAGCGAGGAGTGTCCCCTGAGGGAGTTATTCTCGTGGAGTACGTGGAGCGACTGCCGGCTCCACAACCCTCGGACTGTCTACTCCACGATGACTGGGTGTCTGCGTTGAATGCCAGGGATAAGTGGTCAGTGCAGTAGGCCTTTAAATCTGGTTTATAAAAGTTAGATTATATATTGTTCACCACAGTACTGCCAGTTTTTTAAATTTTTTTTTATTAGTTAGATTTGATATGATTTTCCATGGTACTGAGGTACCAGTTTTCTTAAAGTTAGTAATGGATAGAATTTACTTCTGTACTATGGAACCATTTTTGGAAAAGTTAGGATGTGGTAAGATCAACTAGGGTGCTGCTGGTTTTTTACAACTTGTGACTACTAGGTTAAAACCAGGTTAAGTACAGATTAAGTTTCTAACCAAGCCAAACTGGAAGAACAACTTATTATGCACCAAGCTATGTACATATTTTATGTCTTACTCCTATCAATTATCAAAGTAACTTACCAAATTTAAATGAAGAACTATAGCCTAATTTTGTAGACATCTTCTGTTAATTTAGGCCTACTAGGCCTATCTCTTTTTAAGTTGCATGTAACAAAACTCAATTTAAAGTTTAAATTATGCCTCGGTATCAAACCAACCTTAAATAAACCTTAACCAGAATTTGTAGAGAGTTGTAACATTTAAACCTAAAATTACATTGGAAACTATTGGCAAAAGCCCAAAAAAATTTACTGTGTATCACTCAGTCAATGGCTAATTCATTTATATTCTTGGTCGTATGGATCGGATATATACTTCATTAGTGAAAGACTTTGATTCAAGATTTGTTTTCCACCTTAAACAAATGTTGACTAATTGGTTGCAGGATATTGACTGGGTGTTATGACAACACCTTACACTTATGGACGGTGAAGGGGAAACACAAATTGACGATTCCTGGACACACGGCTCCAGTGAAGGCTGTCGCATGGGTCTCTGTCTCAGACACTATGGCATCCTTCGTAAGGTATGGACGTTAGGAGAAATCAGGATCTTATATTGACACTAGCGTCAATGATGTGAATGTAAAATTGTGTAAAAAAATATCATGGCTGAGGGGTTTCACTTGATCCTCAAATTCGGTTTTTTCAATAAAAATATATTTTACTCTCCTTTAAGTAAAAATGGGAACTGTAAAAATATATGGTAGGTATAATCATTTATTTCTTTTTTGTCTCAATTGTCTGCTAGCTTATTCATGTTATAATGCTTATGGTGTTTTTTTTTCAAATCTGAAGGTGGCTGGTTCAATTCCAAGCGAGATCGTTCTAGACCTATATACTTTTTGTCATCGGGCTATCTATTAATGATGCTGTCTAACAAAAGGTTGACATTAGATAGTAACAAGACTAGAGTTTTAACCGTTCGCTTACTAAAGATGTAAAAATGCCACTGGTGCAAAACAAGCATATGAGTTGCTCAGCGTATTGTTTCAGTGCATCTCACGACCAGACAGCCATGTTGTGGGAGTGGAATGTCGCGACCAACGCGGTGGAGTGTGTACACGTGTGTCGTGGCCATGCTCGTGGTCTAGAGTGTGTGGCTGTCAGCAAGGACGCAGCCAAGTTCGCAACAGGAGGTTGGGACGCATTGCTCAAGATCTGGTCAGCTGGTGAGTTTAGCAGTTAGTGTTTACATTTGTTGTTGGATGCTTGGTGTTTGTTTGCCAATTTTGTAACAACAAAACAAGTAGTGCATTATTGTGAGTTTAAATGTTTGTGCCTCAAGTAACTGTAGCACTGTACTAGCTTAGTAAGTAAGTGATCTGTCTTATTGGAGCACGGGGCTTCAGTATCTATCTAAAAATCCTACTAATCAGTAACGTTTTCCCTACCTTCATGCTAGGCTTACAGCCCAGAATCGTTTAGCCTACACACTTTTGGCAAAGGGGTATCTTGAGGGTTGTGGAATTGTAACTTTGTACTTTACTTTGAAATGGCGACCATACAAAAGTAGGTATTTTAAGACAAGTATGAATGGAGATGAGTGTAGGATGAGTGGCGCGATCTTGTAGTCTAGTAACTAAGGCCGACATATTCCTTAGACACAGCTGTTAATTAATAGCCCATATAGCCAATGGCAACTAAGGGATCTACAGTTTATAGTGGAATCCGAACCAGATTTTTTTCCTTGTAATTAACAAATTGGTCTAATTATCACGATAGTAATGCGGATAGTCGTAATACTCACTAGTGCGGACGTTAATCCACACCAGGGAGTATCGCATCCACAGTGCATGCCTATAAATTTCCACAATTCGTGAGCTCCTAGTAGCTGGATTACAGGCTGTAATCCAGCTACTAGGAGCTACAGGACGATGTTTTTAAATTTTTTAATTAAAATATTACTCACATTAGACAGGAAAATGTGAAGTCTTATGTTCCTAACTTTTTCTTTTATGAAATTACGCTTACCAAGGCTGAAGAGAACAGAGTCCTACAACAACTCCTTTTCCGCTTATTGCCCTTTGAAAAGTCACCACGTGTCAATAATCAAATCTTATAATTAGGTCCACCTACAAGTTTGCTTTAAAATAATCCTCGTTTTTCAAGAGCTATGGTTTGATCAAGAACTTTTTAGTTTGAGAGACAAATTCTTCATATTCATTCAAAAGTTGATTCAAGAAAAATAGTTGGTAGCCTATGTCTATTTTATTTTATTTTAATATTTAAACTCTGGAAAGTGTAAGCTAATGAAACCAACTGAACTGTTTCAGGCGTCCATTCTGCGTCTGATGGGGATGATGGTGAGAGCGTGAGCAAGAAAGCCAAACACGAGGGAAATAAATCACAAGTGAGAGTAAGTATCCTAGGCTACTAGTTAGTAAGCATCGGAGGCTTAATAAATGTTCCCATTAATCTGGACACGTTATCTCAATAATGTATAGATCCTTTAATACAAAACAATATTCATACAAAGGATATTAACTCATTTTGTTCCCATATTCTATATGGTAGATATATTTCCCACGTTGGGAAAGGTTTTGCCTGGAGGCTGTAGGACTGCTGTCGGTGGACACAGTGAGGAAAATTGGATCTGTTGGTCACAGTTTTTCAGGGTATTTTCTACACCAAGCAGTATGACCTTGACCGTTGTTGTGCAAGTCATAAAAGACTTGAATACCAGTAGAGGTGCGAGCCCTGAGGGCTTAGGTAGGTGTTGACTTGAAGAAATGTGACAAACAAGGTCCGTTTCTAACATAGTAGGGTAGTGTTATTTTTAGTGTGTAGTGTGATCAATTCAGGGTCTTATACTTCAGGCTGGTCACTTGTGTGGGTATAAGCATTTTCCTTTTTCTCCCTAAAATAAATAGCCTAAGTAATAAAATCAGCTTATCCAACTAAACTGACTTCATAGGGTCTAATACATCTCAGTCACTTCAAATTTACAGTATACATAACCTTAGCTTGTGACAGTGTATGTTAGACTTCCTATAAAATAAGGAAGACCTACAGTTTATAGTGGAATCCGAACCACATTTTTGCCTAAAATCATTGCCACATAAATTTAATCTGAGATTTTTAAGAGATTTCATGTAATTTTTATTTGTTTCAGACGCCTCTGGTGACTCTGAAAGGCCACCGTGAGGCGCTGTCGGCAGTCTGCTGGCTGCGCGATGGTGCACAGGTCGTCACGGCCAGCTGGGACCACACTCTGCGCACGTGGGACATTGACACTGGCGCACTCGTCTCGGAGCTGTGCGGCAACAAGAGCTTTTTTGATCTTCACGTTTCTCCCTTGTCGGGAATGTTCATCACAGCCTCGGCCGACAGACACGTGCGTCTCTACGACCCTCGCTCTTCAGGTAAATTCAAAGTTTTACGTTCAAAACATAATGTTTTAATCCTTTGTGTAAAAGTTCAGTTTTGGTGAATGTGCTTTTTTAGGACATTATTGTGGACGTTTTCGGGCACGATTAAACACAAGACAGAAGACACGCACAGAAGACTCGATCAGCGGGATAGTTGTTTCATTTGTTCATTTAAACAGCTTAGATTGTGTTACTAAAATAATAGGGTATTTTTAGTAATATATTATCAGGGTAATAGGTTACACTGCAGTATATTCATCCTATTACCTTAACATTTTTACCACTTCCACTGATCAAAAATAAGTATGAACTTAATTATAACGAATGGCTGATCTATTTTACAGAGGGCAGTGTCGTCAAGTGTACCTTCACCTCTCACACTCAGTGGGTTCAGGCCGTAAGATGGTCGCCTACCGATCAACATCTTTTCATATCCGGAGCGTATGACAACGCCCTCAAACTGTGGGATTGTAGAAGGTACAAGCTGTTTTAAAACTTGTTTTTAGGAAATCTGTAAAGCAAAATTCAAGCTTTGCAGTTGAGTTAGCACAAAATGATCATTTTGATGGTAAAATATTAAAATAAGGAGTGTTTAAGGTTATTTTCCGTTCTTGGCCTTGGTACAAAAATAGAAAAATGTTAGAGATTTTTTACTATCGTAGTTAATTAGATTCCAAGGCACCCATGTCAATTAACTCGTTCCCCATGACAGGCTTCGCCTATTTGTGGACCTATCTAATTTGTTAATTTTCTTACGTTTGTGTAACTATTTTTAGTATTTTTCTTTTTGGAATAATTTGCTTTGGATCTCACTTCATTTTAATGTAGTACACCTTAACAGGGGTTTTGATAGCCCTTCTGTAATTTTTGAAATTTTGTTACCATTTCACAAAATCTGTTGCAGCCCAAAAGTTCCGTTGTACGACCTGATGGGCCACGAAGACAAAGTGCTGTGCTGTGATTGGACGATTCCCAAGTACATGATGTCAGGAGGATCGGATAACACACTGAGAGTCTTCAAGAGCAAAACTTACCCTGTGTAAAACACTGGTATGAACACAGCCTATGCAATAATTATCCAAGGCTGAAGTGTCATCAGAGAATGTGTTTAGTGTTATTAAACTTTGCTATGTTTCAACCTTACATATAAGTCTGGCTTGTACAAATAGAAAATAAACAGTCTTTATCAGTCGGTGAAGTTGGTGTTATTGCCTTATTGATAAGCTATATTTTTGTTTAGTCACCAAATAAAAATACTTATTTTAAGTAGGAGCTGATGTCAAAGAAATAACCATTTCCCAAGACCTAATTTTGAGCAAGAGAAATGATCAGCTGATTTTTCCTGGCTATCTTAATTTCCCAACTGTCCACTCTGTGTGCTAGTGTTTATTCCAATGCATTTTCAAAAGATTATAAATCGTTCATTTTCACTGTTGTGCAGCATAACTCACTCAACTGTGACAACTTAAAGCTGTAACTCAACTAGTCTCTGTGGTGTTTGTACAAACAATCACAGCTTAACTAGCTCACATTATAACTACTACTGAGGCATACTCTTCAGTAATGAGAAATGGTTTCGGTTTCTGAGTATTTTTCAGGCATCATCTCTAGACAAGAAAAACCGTGTCACAGGAGAAAAACTGTGTCAGTGTGGTAAAAGTCTCAATGGCTTTTTCAGGCCATCAAATATCTGAGGTGGTGCTTCGGTGAGTAAATATAAAACTTAGTATCTAAAAAAAAAATAGCTTGGAAACCGAGTTGCTCTGGACTGTGACCTGTTCTGTGACACAATTTCTCACATCAGAAGATATGTAAAACTTCACACCTTGAACCTGCACGAGCATAACTAGGCCTACCACCTGACGCTAGATTTTCACAAATATTTATTTTTCTTGTCTCTGATGTAGCCAATGCAAAATTTGTAAAACTGTGTATTTATGTTTGTTCCTGCATCCATCATATGTTTATATTTTTTGTGGAATAATTTTACACTGTACTCGTTGATCTCACTCATGCACTTCATACTTTCTATTTATAATTTTTAAATATTTATATTGTTAATTGTTACTATTTATTTCAAGTTGTAAATGTATTTTCATTTTAAAGTGGCTATGCCATTGGGAAATAAAATAAATAAGATATTTTAGACAATAAACATATAAGATAATAGATTAGTTTTCTTAGCATTATAAAGAAAACAAACTTATGGGTTTTTTCCTTGGTGTACGATTAAAATGATTAAAATCTTAAAATGATAAGTGTTATCAATAATAAAAGATCACTGGTGTTAAATCTGAACAAATACTAGTTCCACAGAAAACCTTCACATTTGACAAAAGTGCATCATTAATAAAGGAGAAAACCACAACAGTTTACTTTGTTCTCCATTAGAGAATAACATTGGAATTTATTTTTTTATTGTCTCCATAACAATTCAGTGCACAGCAACTTATATATTTTATATTCATTATACCTTTTTAACAAGTATTTTACTTCAAACAAAGCAAAACGTTATAAAAAAATGTACCACCCCATAGTCCAATCATACTGGTTCCCGATCTGTTTTACAAAATTTCATCAAAGATTAGCAAAAAATCAGTCCAGAGGTTTAGGTCTTACCATAGTAATTTTATAGTATCCAATAGTCAATGGTAATAACCCCCCTCCCCCAAACGATCACGCATGTGATAGTGTTCCCTGTATGTGGAAAACGGCAAACAAATTCTGCAGGCTTGCTGCATTCACGACTTTTGTATTCAGCCAAGTCTAAAACACACGGCCAAGGGAGCTTGGAAATTTGTATACCCAATAAATAAATATAAGCATTTACTGAAATTTTCTTAAAAGTGATGGTGTGTAAAGTTGTTGTCACGAAATTACCACTTTTCATAAAATACAAACATGAAACGATAATACAATCCTTTATAAATAATACTCTCTTTGGATATTAGGGTTTTATACTCGTAAAATAAGAGGCTGGTAACAAAAACATAGTTATAAAATTGAAGTTGATTTGTAGACTACCTATACACTCTATCAAAAATGTAAATTATAAATGTATTATAAAAGTAAAATGTAAATTATAAAGCAAAATCATAGAAAATCTATGATATATGACAACCACCGAACACTGACTCACCCAAATCTCAGTGATTTATTTATATGAAAATATTATAGTATAGAAACATTTTGCACTTAAAATGAAATGAAATGAAATGAAATGAAATGCTTTATTGTCGTTAAAACTGAGTACAAAGTTCATGACAATCGTCAAAAGAAAAAGAAAACAATCAAGAAAACAATCAAGATGGCAACTAAAACTAAAACTCTAAACCAAAGTACTCTTCATGTTTATACAGGCAAGCCTGGGTTAGAGTAGTTTTTAAAACATGTTTAAATTTTGAAACACACAGGTTTTTGATGGATGCAGGCAAGAAATTGTACATTTTAACACCTTGGTACTCAAAACTATTTTGAGTGGCTGTATACTTATGCCTTAGTGTAGACAGATTATCTTTAGATCTAGTACAATAGTTGTGAACATCAGATATCTTTTCAAAGTGAGAAATGTTTTCTTTTACATACAACAAACTTGCCAAAACATACAAGGATGGAAATGAGAGAATGTTAAGACTCACGAAAAGGGGCTTACAATGTGTTCTTCTATTCACACTACAAATTAACCTCACCGCCTTCTTTTGTAAAGTAAAAAGCAGCCTGTTAGCATAAAAACTGTTGGCCCACAGTGAGGTACCATAGGACAAATAGCTATGAATGTGGCCATAATATATACAAATAAGGACATCATCTGAAACAGTGGACCTAAGTGCTCTTATCATAAATATGCCTTTTACAATTTTAGATGCTACAAAATCTACATGTGAAAACCACTTCAAGTTTGACTGCAAATGAAAACCCAAAAACTTCAGAGTGTTTACATCATTACCATTACTGCTTAGACTAATAGTCAGGTCCTGAGTCTTATCAGCATTAAGACATAACTTGTTTGCATTACACCAGTCGTTAATAACAGCAGATTTTGTGTCCAATGTGTCTGTAACATCATTCAAAGAGTTACCCCGTACACACAAGGCCAAGTCATCAGCAAAAAGAAAGCTTTTTACAGATAAGTCATTAATATTACAAGGTAAGTCATTTATATACAGTATAAACAGGGTAGGGCCCAATATAGAGCCTTGGGGCACTCCGTGGGGCACTCGAACAGGACTAGAATAAGTGCCATTTAGATAGACTTTTTGCCATCTGTCACTAAGATAAGATTGAAAAAACCTAACCAAAACATCATCAAGGTTATAGCAAGAAAGCTTATTCACAAGGAGATCATGAGCCACTGTGTCAAAGGCCTTAGACATGTCGTACGATCTGAACACTATACCACTTTTGGCCTCTAAACTTTGAAAGCAATTTGATATCAGTGCCTGGGTTGCTTGGACAGTGCTGTGTTTGGGCCTAAAGCCAAACTGACTACTTGCTAAAAGGTTACTATCCTCAAGATACTGAGAAAATCTACGATGTACGAGATGTTCCAAGACCTTCGACACTGCAGGGATAATAGATATAGGCCTATAGTTAGCAATGACATTTTTAGGCCCTTTTTTATGGACTGGTATAACCTTAGAAATCTTGAACTTGTTTGGGTAGCAGCCTTGTGTTATACAAAGATTAAATAGGTAAGTCAAAACTTCACTTATGTAACTAGAAGCTAACTTCAAGATGGGGACATTAATTCCGTAAATATCTAAACAAGAGCTATTGTTAAGACTGTTGATGGCTGCATACACCTCTTCTACAGTAAATAGTCCAATCCTAAAAGCATTGTTGTCCTCAATAGTCGGAAGAGCGTTGCAAGAGGTCAAATTTTTAAGATATTGCTCAGGACCATTTGAAGAGGCGGGAACATTACTTCTCAGGTTTTCAACACAGTCGACAAAGTAGGAGTTCAGTCCATCGGCAGTTAGGCAGTCAGGAATAGACAAAGGCTTACTATTACAGTTGCTTATTTCATTAATGATTGACCAGGATGTTTTAGAAATATTACTAGAGTTTAGCAGTAAACTGTTGTTATGGTCAAGTTTGGCTTTCTTGATTTCTTTGCGGTACTGCAACTTTAATGAGTTGTACTTAGTTTTAACTTCAGCAGTCCCTGCATTACAAAACAAAAAATATAGCCGGTCCAGCTCATTTTTCATATTTACAAGTCCTTGATGATACCACCTTTTGTTAGGTTTGTTGTTAAAACCGACAGTAGTTTTCAAGGGAATCGAACCATTTAAGGCCCACAACAGTTTGTCAAAAAACACTTTGAATTTAGCATTTAAGTCTAGGCTATGGTCATATAATTCAAACCAATTCAACTGACTAAGGTTGGATAAGAATTTTAAGGAATTCTGAGGATTTAATTTCCTAGTAACTTTTCTCGGTAAAGAAATTGGATTAGATTTAGAATATGACTCGATGTTCATTGACAGAAAGGCCGCATTATGATCTGAGACAGGAGTGTGTATAACTGAGGCTTCCCATCTATCTGGGTGTACTGAGGTCACAATATTGTCCAAGCAGGTACCTTTGTTTACACTTCCAGCTGCGACATTAGGCCTAGTGATTTCATTAATTGCAGTGTGAAGACCAAAACTAGATATTAGGTTTTTAAGTTCCCGGACTTCAATGCTGTCAGACAGAAAGTCTATGTTAAAATCACCTGTGCAAAAGAAGTCAAGTTTCACACCATGCATAGTTGAGAAGACATCATGCAGTTTATCCAGAAATAAATAAACATTACCTGAGGGTGGTCTGTAGAAGTTTACGATCACTGTTTTGTGCTTAACGATGTACACCGCTGAGGCTTCAAACGTGAGTTCTTCCACTAATATACTCAAATTTAACTTATTGTAAATTATAAAGTCTAGGTTCTCTTTTACAAGTATTGCAGATCCACCATGTTTACACATTGATCTAGCAAAAGAGGTTGCAACTAAGTAGCCTCTTAGGCTTAAGTTGTTAATATCATTTTGTGAGACCCAGTGTTCAGTCAAACAAATCACATCCACACTACTGTCATACGCAAGCAAACGTAGGTAATCTAGTTTGTTAGTAATGGATTGAATATTCCACAGGAGGATGTTTAGTTTTTTAGCTGACCTAGATAGTATTTTATTAGACGACTGCTGTAAGCAAATGTTAGAGAAGTTCCCAATCGCTTTGTTATGCGTTGAGAGTTGTGTGTCAGAATTATCTGTCACTTCAGACTCTACGTTAAATTTACAGAGTTGGGGGGAGTTTCTAAAAAATTCTCCTGACACTGAGCAGTGCTTGTTGCTTTTTTAGCAAACCTGAAGGCATTTATATATGCCCCAGTAGGCCAGAATTCAGGCAAATATATTTTGTCCCACAAGTGAGCAGGAACCCCTACCTTAAATGTCCGATAGCCTGGGAACCTGTTCCTCATTTGTGTGACTTTGTAATCACCACTAATTTCATCACTTATATATTTATTAACTGTATCACAGTCAACGTCTGTAGCCAGCCTTGAGATGAATAAATACCTTAACGTAAAGACATGGCAACACTGTTTATTGATAAAGAAATGTAAGAAAAAGAAGGTAAATTTGTTGTTGTTTATAATTGGTTGAATAAACAACTAAAAAACATCTGTCACTGTCTTCGTCTTCCCTCTTCGTTGTTGTCGTTCACTTCGTTTCACTTTTTTGCACTTAGAATTTTTGTTGTTGGTCGATTACTTTTTTCTTTTTAGTTAATAGTTACATACAACATACATATTCCCGCGAAATTAGGTTAAACACGTAAGACAACTGTTAACTGTTGCTTAGGCTAGTGGAGTGGAATTTGTGTAAGACCTATTTATAACAAAGTGAGTACCGCTACAATATAAAAGTAAAATGCATTAGAGAATCAATGTTACAAAAATATGAGAGTCTTTCATTTTGTAAAACAATTAACTTAGACTAGGCTAGCCTATTTAGTCTTGTAGATGTTAGCCTAGGCCTAGGGTTTTACTTATTGTTTTACCTAAGTTATTTGAACATGTTTAAAAACCGGTAGAACACTTAACCATGTCACCCATAACTTAGCCATTGTCGAGTTTCTAGGCCTAATAAAAGTAAAGGTTTACTTAGTTTGGGCTGCACTTTACTTTAGGTCCTACACTCATTCGAATGAAAATATCGATTGTTCGATTTCATTCGATATATCGAAGGTTAGGTTAACCTTACCTAACTAACCAAACGATATATCGAATGATACTATCGATCGATATTTTCATTCGAATGAGTGTAGGACCTAAAGTAAAGTGCAGCCTTAGTTTGGTTTCAAATGGTTCTGAAAAAAAATTGTTGGCTGGTTAAGGGGCACACTTCCATAAGTATATGTTGGCACAAACAACCGAATGAGTAACTTAATATTGATTATTCGATTGTTTGATTCGATATATCGTTTGGTTAGTTAGGTTAGGTTAACCTTACCTACCTAACCCTAACTAACCTTACCTAACAGCCTATTGTATAATGTGTATTTAACTTAATGGCAAAATAAAATGATCTAAATGATTTACCAAATGATATAACTTATCGATAGATATTTTCATTCCGTCGTTTCGTTTGTGCCAACAGATATGGAAGTGTACCCTGGTTAAGAGTTCTTCACATCAGACTTGTTACCTACTTAGTTTTTAACTTATGACCTTTGATGCTTTTTCATTTGTGTTTCTCTTTCAAAGAAACTGAACATGCCAACCAATAAATTCTTATGAATTTTCCTTGTTCAGTCGAAGAGCCATGTTAGTGGGTGGCCACGGGGAACCTAACCCCAACACAACCTGGTTACAAAGTCGTGGCTTCTGGATTGCATACACACTCGGTCTGCTCACTCTTCACCTTGTCCTCCTGTCCGTTCCTATCTTCAGCATTCCGATCGCCTGGACACTCACACATCAGATACATACAGTTGTAAGTAGTTTTTAGCTTTTGCTCAGAACTCATTAATTTATTATCCAGAAAATATGTTAGACCACATGAGCAAATCAGCATAGGAAAGACATAAGTAAGTTAGGGGCCTAGTTGCTTAAGATTTAACACCATTCAAGCTAAAATTTAAAGTCTGCAGCAGTCCAGTTTGTTGTCAAGATTCACAAACATTGTATAAACAGTTAACCTGTGAAAAAGGCACACCTTAAGTTGTTAAGTTATTTCCAATTTCAACTTTTTTACATACCGGTAAGTAAGTTAAAGCCTAGGCTATGTTTTGTTAATGAAATGAAACAATGAAAGTGAAAATCTTTCAGAGAAAAAAGTGCAGCCTAAACTTATTGCTAGGTAAATCAAACAAATGTTTAGATCTTGCCTTTTCTTGACTATTTGACTCTTCACAGCTACAGCTGATCTTCTTACATACACTAAAGGGAGCTCCGTGGATACCTCAAGACCAAGGCGATTGCAGGGTGTTGACTCATTGGGAGCAGATTGACTACGGAGAACAGTTCACCACCACAAGGAAGTTCCTGACTGTCGCCCCCATAGCTGTGTGAGTCTTTGTGCAATTGGTTTTGGTTCTTCGATAGGCTATGTTAAGTTAAATACTATCAGTATTGGGTAGCTAAATAGTTATGGTTCTCTAGTAGTCAGATTGTTATCAGTTTGATCCTGAGAATTTTAAAGTAAAACCGTCTTTTATGATTCGAAAGTGGATACAGCTGTTTTTGATCGTTGGGCTTTTTAATTACTTTGGCTGAAGAACCGATTGGTCTAATTACAAGTACCTAACAAAGATGTCATTTCGCAAATCTAACACTCCATAGTTCAGTCATCTCTTTGCCTGAAATAGGCTATACCGTGTTGTTTCGATGCAATACGAATATAACTTGTACACATAGTGTTTTTAGGCCTAACAGGATTTACAATGAATTGGTAAAACCGTAGCAAAACAGCCAGAAAGAGTGAATTTTGAAAACTGAATGCATACCGTACACAAATTATATATACATCAATGACTTAGGCCTGTTTATTGAGAGATTTTGTAGTTCTAATTGATTTAGTGTATAGGGTAGTTCTTATTTGTAATTATCTTAAAGAACTTATAATTTTTGCCCCTTGTCGTACCTTAAATAAGAACATTTGGTTATCAGTAAAAAGGTACCGGTAGGCATACCTGTGCACAAAAAAGCGGGAAATGGCTGCATACTTTCTGTATATTCAGTACGGTAGCTTATGTACCAAAGCTTTAAGCTATTTAGTTAGGCTGAGTGAGAGTCGCTATCAACCACAGTTTAAATTCAGATAGGGCCTAACAAGCTTAAATTTAGTTTAGGTAAGATTAAGTTATTCTTAAGGAATCCGGACGAATCATGACTGGTGTCAAAATAACTACAGTACAACCCCAACTAACTGAAATAAATATAAGAAGGCAGTATTGGATATAAAGATTTTTTTTTCAGTTACAGTAGTATGGAATGGTTGAAATTCAATGGCTTCTACGGTTCAAAAATATCTACCTACATCATTTGTTTATTCTTTATATTTTTCCTGTCTTCTTAAAATCTACAACTGTACATGTAAAATCTATTTCTTAAGATAATCGATGGTGATTTTCGGGTCTGACTTAGGGGAGGTACGAATGAGGCATTTAGTTCAAAATTCCTCCGTGAACAGCGCTGTAGTAGAGAGAACTTTGGCAATGAAGGTTTACTAATCGCAAAAATAGTTCTGTTAATAAAATAATAAATAAGTTAATAAATGTCTCAAATTCAATTTTATTATTTTTTAATTATAAAATTAAACTATCATAACCTAACCGAACTAACCAAACTTGCTGATAAAGAAATAATATAACAAAAGTTTAGTAATCAGAAAAATAATTCTGTTTATTAAATAAAACTAGAATTTGCTCAATTAAAATTGTATAATGACTTAATAATAAAATTAAACTGTAATAACCGAACCAAACCAACCAAACTTGCTGATAATAAAAAAATCTTGGACAAAAAGTTAATGCTACGAGCGGGATTTGATCCCGGGACCTACAGTATATCGGCCCGGCACGCTAACCAATAGACCACCGAGGCCGATGGCTACCGATCGTTTTGTTACGGTAATGGCGTTCCCTCAGCTAATAAGAAGCCCACAGCTGTCATCGTAGCCTCTTCTATACCTCCCCTGAGTAAATACCGTTATTTTCAGACTTAAATCTTCACAGTGGTTGCCGCGATAATGACTCAAGCTAAGCTGGGCCAAATGCTAGTGTGGCAGGCAATTCCCGTTGCTTCGTTAATTTTCCAAGTTTTTTTGATTTTTACTAAGGGTTCAGTTTAGTAGGCTCATTAAAAAATAGTTTTATTGTATAGATTACAAAAACACTAACACCAAATTGTAAAACATTACAATATACGTTTATGTTTTGCAGATTTTTGCTGACATGTTTCTACACTAGGAATGCGTCTCACTACTTTGTCATCAACTTTGTCTCCCTCGTGGCCGTAGTTCTGCCCAAACTACCTCAGTTCCACAAAGTTCGGCTGTTTGGTATCAACAAGTACTAAAAAGGTAAGTTAATTTGTTAGGTAACCTTCTATGCCTATTTAAAAAGACTTTTAATCGCTAGGACCAAAAAAAGGGGAGGTTTGGGATAAGAGTTCAGTTAGAATTAGGCCTATTACTTGTTATCGATTAGAGGTGTGCAAATTGTAGTATATAATACGATACCTGCGAGTTTGTTCCTGTGTATATAACAAGTTTTTTAGCCTCCATTATTCGAACCTGCAAACAATCCTTCGCAATTTTTTAATTCTGTGTTGACCACTAGTTTTAATTCTTGAGAGACCATCGGCAATGCAACGAGTCAGTGCAAGTTATAATTATTTTTTACTCCAAAATACGTTCAAAATGTTTTTTTTTATTGCTGTTCCAATGCCTTGAAAAGGCTGAAAGTAAAACTGGTTCCCCTTCCAGGAAGAAATATATCCTCCGTTCATCAAGCACCAAACTAGTGATATGTTTTGTATGTTGTTTCAAAGCTGGATTTTGCTGCAACACAATAATGAACATTTTGTTTACAGTATGTGGACCTTCCCAATTATACATCGAGGACTGAAGATTAAGACTTGAGTGATTTCTTGTGATTTGTGTACATAAGCAATAAATGGCTTAGTATTTAAGTTAACAGCCTTGTTTCATTTTAACCTGAAAGGTTTTTATGTGATAAATACAATGTTGTACAATAAATGTATTTTTTGTTATTAAGAGTTTTATTTAAACTTCTGACCAGATTAAGGGAATTTTTACGAATGAAGATTACTTTCATTAAAGTTTCATTTGACAACTCATTAACCACACCTTCTCATCAAGTTATGTGTGGGAAAATAAATGAGTAAATAACACCTTTCAGGGCTTTCTTTAACTTACTTATATTTTCACAACAACAAAAAAAGGAACCTTCTATCTCAACTTTTAAACATAATCCCACTCTCCAATTATTCATCACCATAACAACCAAAAATAGCCAAAAACGTAAACATAAACAAACTATTAGTCAGCTGATGCTAGTTTACAACTACACGCCCCCGTGGTGTCAACACCACTACATTATGGATAGAACCCCCTGTCTCAAAAGTGTCGAAAACACTGTAAAACCGGTGTAATACAAATTTAAAAAATTAAATCAATGTTACTTTTTGGTATACAAGCACACATACTACACCAACTCTTAAATTAAAATTACCTGAATCACTTGACGCCCTAGTGATGAACTATATTTTTTGTCCCATTGCATCATTTAAAATAAAAATACTGTTCATGTAAGCTCTCAAAATGACTTTCAACTTGTTTTCAATTTTGCTAGGCCTAATACAAACATGCAGCTGATTCAATAATTTTGTCTATTACGATTGTTTTAGTTTTAGTGTACGTTATACCATCGATATGACAAGCTATTGAAAATAATGCAACAATAAGCTAGAATTGATTAATGCAATCGATACATACTTTCGATACATGTGATTTATTACAACTAAAGCTTACAACAGCTGATTTTTATCAGCTAGTATTATTGATCATTGTGCTTTTATTTTATCTAGAGGTCGTCCAGTGGTCGAAACTCGACCAAAAATATGTAATGTACAGAGTTCTCTATTTTCACCCCACACTGTAAATAAAACATGTGATTGGAGTTTCTTCCATTTTTGTTTTGATTTTCTGTTTATATTTTGTTGTTATTTCGTCACCAGCATGGCAACCCATAAGATCAATGTAAATTTTTTCAAAATTTTAAATTCATTTTTTGTGCTTATTTTTGAGCCTATTTAAATTTATAAAGGGATTCTGCACATCTACAGGAAAATATCTTTCCAACAGTATGTGTAGATTTTCCCTGCGATACACACAAGCTGAGAAAAAGGGTTTTAAAGAATCATGCTTGCCTATTAATATATAGATAGATTCTTCTTGTTTTTAAGATTGTTGTAAAAATACAGCTGATTTTAGTCAGTAACAAGGCATCTCTATCCATACTACACAAGTTTCTCCTTCATGTTTATTTCAAATGTGCTCAGTTGTGTACCCATCTCAATTATCAATAATCGTAGCAATACTGTTAAATGTGTTCTGCATAATTTGAGAAAGGGTTGTGTTTCTTTATAGTGCTTAAATGTGCTCTGTGTTTCTGGTTTTAAAACAACTACCAGTGTGTCCTAGATAATAGGAGTCACATTCTCCCCACTTGAGCTCATGTACACCAGACATTTATAATTTTATTGTTAGCATTCCTCTTGAATCTCCTATGCAGTTTATCAATCATGTCAGTGCTGTATTCCGAGCAACATATTTACTGGTTTATTTCACTACTATAATTCAGAGGTATATTTAACATTAACTAATCTATGTAGCATTGAGTTGCAGGCTTCTACCTTGTGAGGGGGGGGGGGTTAGAATTACGATGAATGGTTTTACCTATACTAGTAGGTTTTCTATGGATGTTAAATAGGTGGGTTTTATGTGACTTAGTTATTGTCAGGTCAAGAAAGTTGAGAGTTGTTCACGTGTTCTATTGTGAATTTAAGCCTGGAATATGTAAGTTATTCGAATACTTTCCAAACGAGTCAATTTGTTATTGTTGCCTTTGAATAAGGAAAGCACGGCGGCAACATATCAATGCTAGTAAAAAATCTGTATGTCCAAAATGCGCTGGTGTTCTATATTTTCAAGAAAGATTTCCGATAAAATTAGGGATAACATTAAACTCGTAGCTAATCCTTGTTCTTGTAGATAATATTTGTTGTTTAACTTGAAATAGTTCTGTTTTAACACAACTCTTAAAAGTGATACTAACCGCTACCATATTTTTACCGTCCAAAGTTCCCTTTGTTCTTGTGTATTGTTCTACTAAATGGTTCTTAACACTGTAGTTAACTTAGAAGTCAGTGTTTTCCTTATTATTTTACCAAGGATAGAGTAATCTCCCAAATGCTGTAGTGCTTCATCCCTTACAGTGCACATGGTAAGGACTAAATATATTTTGTATATTTTCGCGCTATCTTTCACACTCAAGAATAATTTCAATTTGTGTTAATAAAGTTTTGTGTTTCTTGCACAAGTATATTTTTCCATCCAAGTAAGTGCCCGTTACAACTAAAACCCCAAATATTGTTTACATCTTTATAGATTTGTAACTACTGCACAACTTCCTGGAAAATATTCCTACCAAAACAAAATGCAGGAGAAATCAAGTAATAAACAAGGCTGATGATGACTTCATTTATCAGCTGATTGACATAACAATCAACAATCAGAAGTCAAGTCAGCTGTGACATTGGGTGTCACTTTCCCTCCTATGTTGCCAAACTGATCAATATTCAGGGACAATAGTCGCAGGCACAACTCAATAAAAACAGCCTCTTCAGAACACCTGCACTTAGAAGCAAATAAACTTTAATTTGTCAAGTTAAACATGTGATGTGATGGTATTGGGAATAAAAAAATATGAAAGAATTACGAATGTTAAACAAATGTAGGTGCAGTTAATTTTACAAACTAGTATTTCAGGGTTGTTGTTTTGAGATTGAGTGAAGTTGTTAAAATACAGGAAATTTATTATCTATTCAATTTTTCATCTCTACTATGATATCCAAACAAAACTCTGAAAAAAATGGAATGATGCTGGTTTCATCCAGAAAAATAAATAAACTTATTGGTGGCTTTATAATAAAGCTGTCCTTAAAGATTGGGCTTTTGATTAATGTTTTTGGTTTAAAATCAGCTGGTCTTGGTCATTAGTAAAGCCAAAGATTACATATGCTAACGCAAAATATTTTGCGTTAGCATATGTAATCTTTGGTAAAGCTAAAAGTTATTTTTCACTTCGACTGTTTTATAATTTTAACCCATTAACATTTTCCATCCTTAGAGATCAGCTGGCAATGTTTTATAATAAATACCCCCGCCGCAGCAAACCTGCAGACTTAGCGAATTTCCTTCTGCCTGATTGGATTTAAACTAAAATGTCTCCTTAAAAATATCACATTTATTCCCTATTCAAACAGAATTAGTTTAATGAGTACTTAGGTTTACTGCAACAGGGAGGGTAAAAAAGTTTTTTTTATGTAAAATATTAAAAGGTACTGTGGTTTAGTAAGAAATTAATGTATTTTCCAAATTTGATCAAAATATGTTCATAAACAAGCAAACTACAACAGTTGACTTATTCTCCATAAGAATAACATGGGAATTTTAAAATTAAAATTTTTTTGAATTTTCTCCGTAACAGTTAGGCGCATAATAACACTTCAATATACTAAATTATTTGTTTTTTTAAGCTCTACAAAATGGTTTAAAAATAAATTGTGAAATTTTGTGTTTTTAGGGTCAAAAATGGGAGAAACCTATTTTTACCCCGTAAAACCCCCCGTTCCCATAGTCTGATCATGCTGGTTTGCGAACTCATTCAAGTTTATCCCGCCTTACACCTTCAAACCAAATTTTATCAAAATCGGACAAAAATTACTCAAGTTATCGTGCGGATGGACACATATATATATCTATATATAGATATATAAAAATTTGAATGAATGGTGTTTTTGGCCTCTGGGGACATCAAAATGAAAAAGTAAATCGGTCCCGGGCTTAGGTCTTACCATGAGACCTACGGTAATAGCTACTTCCCTATAGGGAAATTCGCTAAAAAAAATAAAAAAATTATTTCTGGCACTTTTCAATACTTTTTTATTTTCTACTCAAATAGACATAGCAAATGACATCTTCATGCATGTATTTTCACTTCACAAAAGGTGCACTCTAAAATGGAGCATTTGCTCCCAATTAAGTGGGAAAATGTTGACTACCACCTGTTTCTCCAGCTGTGCTGGCTTTATGAAATGTATCTATTGTGACGATAAACTACTTTGTGAAACCTAACCAGTCAAATGTAAATTTTCTCAGTCTGCCGGATTGCTATGGTGGGGGTACTCTTTTTTTATTCTATGACTCAAGCACTAATGATGACTCAAAGAACAGCCTTCCTTTTTGAGAAGTGTGACTAATTATTTCAATGAGATGTCTAATAACCTTGATTTATATCTTTGTTACTGATTTTCAAGGTTTTTACTTTCAGTTCCAAGTGAGTGACAAAACACAAATTGTACTACACACCTTTTTACACTAAACTTTGTGCAACTTTTAACTTATATTCCGTTCTATATTGTTCTTACAGTTTTGAATAGTTTGTAATTGATTATCTTTTTTTATTGTGCATTGTTAAAAGTGAAGGATAACTGTAGAATAAGGTTAGCTTTGTTTTTCTAATCAGCTGATTCAAACATAATTGTTAGTTCAACAATCAACTCAGCTCTAGCTGTGACATAATTACTTGTTTTCTCCTTGTGATTGTTAAATAATGTAATTGTATTTGAATAGCCCTTACCATTTTCATCCACCTGGTTGAAATTAATAATGTATGTAAATACATTTTTAAGAATCAGCTGATTATATTATTGTTTTTGGCCGCCATACTTTGTATTTCCTAGATTATGTCTGTTGAAAAAATAGATAACAAATAAACATTCTGATTGAGCGAACTGCACAAATTGAATGAATTGCATAACATAATTAAAAAAGGTACGATGTATATAAACAATATAAAAATATCTCTATTGAGTAACTTTAATAACCTTCATTCAGTGTATATTAAAATATTTAAACATTATGGTTAGTTACTGTATTTTTTAAACTACTATTACATAAACTGAGA